GAAGTCATCAAGCCCAGCCATCTGTGCTGGGGCAGGACCTAATAGACCTGGACCAGCCCTGACAGACGTTTATCCAATCTGTTCTTAAAAATCTCCAATGATGGGGATTCCACAACCTCCTTTGGAAACCTATTCCAGAACTTGACTACCCTTAGAGTTAGGAAGTTTTTCCTAATATCTAACCTAAATCTCCCTGGTTGCAGATTAAACCCATTTCTTCGTGTCCTGCCCTCAGTGGACATAGAGAACAATTGTCTTCTTTATAGCAGCCCTTAACATATTTGTAGACTGTTATCAGGTTCCCCCGTCAGTCTTCTTTTCTCAAGACTAAACATGTCCAGTTTTTTTAACCTTTCCTCATAGGTCAGGTTTTCTAAGCCTTTTAGCATTTTTGTTGTGCTCCTCTAGATTCTCTCAAATTGTCCACATCTGGCACCCAGAATTGCACACGCTGTTCCAGCTGAGGCTTCATCAGTGCTGAGTAGAGCAGGACATGTACTGGAAGTGCTGTGGGTGGCAAATGTCTTAAATCTGCAGCTCTGTTTGTTCCTTGCTCTTGTTTACTACTTGTAGTGTGTTGACAATTCCTGATATGATGCAAGTGCTGTTTTCTTGGCTGATCCAGTTGTGTGTGTGTGTGTGTGTTCCACAGGACACAGCCAGTTTAATAACCCAGTGGTGGGAAGAGAGGGGAGATAAATAAATCAATTAGCTGAGATGCATTTTAACCGCTGTTGTGTTTTTTGTCCACTCCCAGGTTCAAGAACATTCCTCACATGTCATTTGATGACGCAGCCAGAGAACCAGATCAGATGTTCAGTCTGAATCGAGATCTAACAGGAGAACTGGAGTATCCCACAAAGTATGAGACAGGCTCTTCCCTTCTCTGTGGTGCATCTGTTAGGGATGCACTGGAGTTCATTCCTCCTGGAGCCAATGAGTTTGTGTTCCTTTTATATCAGAGCCTACTCATATGCTATTCAACGGTTAGAAAGTGTTAGGAGCTGGAGTCCTACATGGCAGTGCTTAGTCTCCACACCCCAATAGGTTTTCCTTTTCAAGTAACACCTTCATCCTCTTTAGTGCAGAAACTGCTCCAGAAATTAGGATTTATTTCCTGGGTGACTGGTTACATGCTGAACTCTGAACTCAGTCTGTTTTTTTGTTTTTTCTTCCAGAATTGCTCGTTTCTCAAATGTTTGTCATCTCTCCATCCACATTTCCAAGAATTTTGGAGCTGAGACAACAAAGATCTTTTATATAGGCCTGAGGGGAGAGTGGACCGAGGTGAGTGAGAGCAGGGAGAAAATGAGCAAAACACATCACAAATGCAGAAGTCGTCTTGAATTGCAACTTGTACAGTTGGGTCTGTCTAGGTGTGGTTATTTATGAGAAACTTGGAAAGCGCTATGGAGACTTTTTTTTTTTTTTTATTGATCAGTAACTGAGTTAATTTGCTGAACTGAATCAACCCAAATAATGCTTGGTTAGTTTCCTTCCCTGAATCCAACATGAACTGCTGTGGTTCTGGGAAGCCACCTGTTAAGAAGTGGGAGGTGCTGGCGTTGCTGTTGGATTTATTTAAGGGATATATTTTTGTCACAGGCATGATTCTGTTAAGAACCAGTTACATGCAGAAGAAGCTACAGTCTTGCAACTACAGATTTAAAACATTGACATAGCATAGGTTCAGCATCCATCGAGGGATGACTTGTAAGGTAAAGCATTCCTTGAGCTGGGACAGGTGCCTGGGCCTCAATGGCTGGCACCAAATTCAGTTTGGGCAGATCTTGGGAAGGGTGGAAGAGACTACTTTGGACAGAAGTGAAATGGGAAGAGCTGGTCAGTTTCCTTTTTTGGTGGAGTAAACTGAGCTTTAATGGGACTAAATATGTTTGCCTTGATTCAGGCTTATCGACATGAAGTGACCATCTGCAACTATGAAGCAGCAGCAAACCCAGCTGACCACAAAATTGATCAGATCATGCCGGAGACCCACTTCATTTCCTAACAGTAGCACCAGGATGCTCCCAAAGGCTTCATTATCAATACACTGAGTTAATGGACTGACTCTGAAGAGAACAGATTCTTGGGGCGCTGGAGAGAGTGGTGAAATTGCTTTTATTTCTTGTCTTTGCCCTGGGAAGAAGAGTGCCAATGCATGAAATCTCTTTATAAAGTTAATTGATTGCTAATGGCAATCATCTGTTGGGGGCTTCAGCACTCTGAGGAATCAGGCCTTGACATAGTGGAGTGTCTCTCCTCCACAGTGGCAACCTAGTGGCCTAATCGTTTATGTTGCCCATTGAAAATAAAAGCATATCCTCTCACTGTGTATGCCCCAAGCTTCAAGATTGGTTTGTGTCTGAAATGCTGGTTATTGGAGGCAAACAAGGCAGGGAAACATCCTCTGGTTGCTACTCTGTTGTCCCTGGGTGTTGAACAATTGGTGCTGGTGTGTGAGGCTTGAGCCTAACAGTGACTTGATGTAGGGTTATTGCTGTATTGAGGAGAAAGGAATTGTAAACTAAAACTTGCATCTTGAGATTCTGTTCCCCTGAAATGTAAATTCTGAGGGAAATCTAAACCTGTGGGAGAGATGCTGGATCCTTAACATATATAAAAGTGAAAATACAGGATTGTATGGTTGAGGGGGCTTAGCAGAAAGTGTTCAAAGCATTGTGTGAACATTTAAAGTTGTGGCTTTTTGCTGAAGGTATGGAGCCTCCACTCCATGTTAGAAGCCAGAGCTGGAGACCTAGGAGTTCCTTTAGGCACAACTTTATAAGGAATGTAACTAATCTTTCCTAATAAATCTATGGCAGATGTAATTTGTTTCATTTCTTGTGTCCCTTCCTGCTGCATCTTGACTTATGTGTAGCCATGTACCTGTCTAGTTGCAGAAAGGGTTTAATGCAATTGAGTGTACCTCTCAGATGTGGAGTGCTTTACAGCCAAACAATACTATCATTAAATACACCACGGTAACCATGCTCTAACAGTCAAAAGAGCTATGAATCTAGCAGCCCAAAACCTCTTTATTCACCATTAATGGCTAAGCCCCAATAAAAAGTTTCTGCAAGCAACTATGAAAAGTGGTGTGAAGGGGAAAAAAAACCAATGTGCAGGCTTATAGGTCCAAAGCAGTGGTAGTAATTAGCTACCACTGGAGCAACAGCCTCAGGTTTATTTCAGTGTTTGCAGAAATAAGAACTGTGATGGATAACCTAGCTGTACATTCCATTCATGGCATATGTATGAGGCTGGCAGCTGGGGTAATCAACGTGTATTACTTGTGTCGTCTTGTATCCTCAATGAGGATGACATCTGGTAGTGATTGGAGTGGCACACTGCAATCTGTGTTTGTTTCCGGCGGTGCTCAAGGAATGGGGAAAACATTCGATCTTCCTCTCAATTGCTTTATGTGACACATCCAGTTGAAGTTGTCTGCAGTTATGTATATACAAGCTGCTTTCATACCTTTGCACAAACTCCCATCAAGAAGAGCAGGCTGTAACTAGAACAGTGTGCTGAGGTGACTTACAACTAACCTTTTGTGGCTGGAATCGAAGTTCAAAATTGCCTTAAACTGCAGTTTTATGGCATTAACTCTGCTTCAAGAAGGGGTTTAAAATATCTTTATCAAATTTAATCCTACCCATTAGGGGGAGGGATAGCTCAGTGGTTTGAGCATTGGCCTGCTAAACCTCAATCCTTGAGGGGGCCACTTAAGGATTTGGGGCAAAATCCGTACTTGGTCCTGCTAGTGAAGGCAGGGGGCTGGACTCGATGACCATTCGGGGTCCCTTCCAGTTCTATGAGATGAAGAGAACTTTCTCTGAGGCAGCAATTTCACTTTATAGTCAGAGGGCAGAAATTGCAGGATCAAACTTCACTGTGATATTAACTTTGTCCTTTTGAGGGGGGCTGTCTGGGTTTCAATCAAAAACATTACAGCTCTGCTGATGGTTGTCAGCATTTTTAATTCTTCAGTAATGCAGTGACAGGAGAGGGGTGTGTGAGAGTGATACTTTCTCAAGCAGTGCTGCTCCTTATCTTCCCCCCTACACTCTCAAATTGCTGTCCTAATATCTTCTTGCCGCTCTGGGACATCTTATATTAGGAAATAGCTGCTCTCCCCCACCCCCAAAATACTGCTGGCCCTTTCAGCACCATTCTCTAAAACACACTGAGAACGTAGTAGAAAATGGTTTCCCACAAACTGTAACTGGGCTGAGTGGGGGGAGAGTTCAGTCCCTAAGGCTGAGTAGGGCCTAGTCTGGATAAATCCCACTGGGCCTTTGCCCAGATCTCAGAGTGGAGGCTCGGAGAACCTGCTTGACGAGAAGAGGAATTAGGCTCCCAAAGTACTGAGTGGGGAAAATGACTCCTTGACTCAGGCACCACAGCAACCGGTCGGCTGGGAAAGCTGTTCCCTACCTCCCGGCCCGGGGACTAAGTGCCTATTGCACGGGGAGCGGAGGGGCTCTGCTGGGTGAAACCAGCAGGCGCAAGCTTCGGGCTCCACTGACCCCGCCTCCTCCTCCTGTGTCTGTCCCAATGGCCAGGGCTCCGGCTCGCCCGGGTTCCCCCGGGGTTGGGCTCGGGGCTGCCCCTCCCCCATGTGTGGCTGGGGGTCCCTGTCTGCTGGGGGAGGGGGGGGGCGCTGCCCCCTTCCAGGCCGATCGCACCTGGCAGGGCAGTGACCCCCCGGCAGGCTCGGGGCAATGATCCCGCTACGCCCGGGGGGGGGTCCGTATCCCCCGCAGGGCTCGCGCTTCCCCCGGGCTGAGGGGGCTCTGAGGGCCGGGCCCGTCCCGCGGGGCGGAGGGTGCTGGGGGGGTCTCTCTGCCCCCCCTTCCCCCCAGGGGCTCCCGCCCCCTCGCAGGCCCAGCGGCCCCCCGGGCAGGACCAAGATGGCGCCCCCTTCCGGCTTCCGTGCCGTGTATGCCGTCACTTCCGGTGGGCTGACCCGGGGCGCCCCGACCGGTCGGCGGGCGGAAGTTCCGGTCGGAGAGGCAGGAGAGTGTGTCTAGGAGCCGGGGAGAGAGCGAGCGAGGTGCGGAGCGGGGCGGCTCTGGGGAACGGGGCTATTGTGGGGAGGGGTCAGTGGGGGGGAGGGGAAATGAGCCATTGTGGGGAAGGGGAGATATGGGGAGGAGGCAGTGGGGGCGGTGGGGGGGGAGAGGGGGGGGGGTCAGTGGGGGGGAGGGGAAATGAGCTTTTGTGGGGAGCGGAGGGAGACACAGGGGAAGGGTCAGTGTGGTGGTGGGTAATGGCCAAAGTATTTGTGGAGGGAGAATGGGCCATGGGGGGGAGGGAGGTAGAGATAGGACCTTGATCTAGTTCGGAGACACACCTGAGGTGGGAGGGTGATGGCTGGGGCTGAGACACATCTCAGGAGATGGTAATGGGGGGGGGGAGGAACCAGGGGAGTTTTGGGCTATGGTGTCAGGTGGAAATGGCCCCAAGAATTTCATGAGCCACATGTAGTGGGACGTGCTATTGAAGCTACTAGAGCTGCTCTGTGAATGAGCTGTGCAATCTATGTGGGGGGTGAGGGTGTTGTGCTATTGGAAATCGATAGAGGGATGTTGCAATTGACTGTATATGATGATATAGGGAAAGCTGTGTTTGCCTGCAGGCTAAGGAAGCACTTGCTGGCTCAGGGTAGGGGAAGTGTAGGGATATGCCATGGGGATCAGATCCAGGGAGAGAAGACATGGTAAGCACAGGGGTGGCCAACCTGAGGCTGAGAAGGAGCCAGAATTTACCCAGGTACATTGCCAAAGAGCCACAGTAATACATCAGCAGCCCCGCCCTGCCTGCCGCCGCCCGGCCATCAGCGCCTCCCCTCCCTCCCTGTGCCTCACAGAGCGAGGGCACGGCAGGCTCAGGGAAGGGGGCGGGAAGGGACAGGGCCTTGGGGGAAGGGGTGAACTGGGGCCAGGGCCTGTGGCAGAGGCAGGGGTTGAGCAGTGAGCACCCCCCGGCACATTGGAAAGTTGGCACCTGTAGCTCCAGCCCCGGAGTCGGTGTCTATATAAGGAGCCGCTTATTAACCTCTGAAGAGCCTCATGCGGCTCTGGAGCCACAGGTTGGCCACCCCTGATGTAGTACTTGGAATAATGTAGGGAATCTGGGAGCTGGGTCAGTGCAAGGATATTGCAGGAGACAACTCAGAGAAGTTGGTGTAGAATGTATTATTCTGCCAACTGTACGCACTCAAAACACAGCACAAGGTAGCAAGCACCATAAATGACAGTCAAACAAGAGTCAGGTTTCAGAGTAGCGGCCGTGTTAGTCTGTATCCACAAAAAGAATAGGAGTACTTGTGGCACCTTAGAGACTAACAAATTTATTTGAGCCGATGAAATGGACTGTAGCCCACGAAAGCTTATGCTCAAATAAATTTGTTAGTCTCTAAGGTGCCACAAGTACTCCTGTTCTTTCTTCAAACAAGAGTGTTGATCATAATCAATCGTAATCAATGAGGAGGCAAGGCAGGAGAGAGAGGTGTGTCTGGATGACATTTGAGAGCAGATACACAATTGTTCCCGAGCATAGGAGTGGCAGAGGAGAAGACTCTGGTATTGATTGGGTAAGAGACCAGAAAAAGGGATGAGAGAGAAACACACTAGGAGGCTTTAGGGAGGTGTTGGGGATCCATTGAGTGGGGGCTGCATTATAGATTATCATGTGTGAAGCACTTTTCTGGGTTTTAGCTAGGGGATATGATTATTTTTATTGTATAGTAGAAAGGATTGGATTAATTAGGGAAGATTGAATTGCTTTGGATAAAATAAGAACTGATGCAGGTTGTTGCCACAAGCTCAGAGTGAACCTCTCCTGGCCAAATTCTGTTAAGGAGAAAGTAAGGTTAAAAGTCATGGGGCCAAATTCTCCCCTGGTGTAATTCTGTTGACTTTGATGGAGTCACATGAAGGATGAATTTGGCTCAGTAGGTTTTAAAACTGCAGGCTATCTTATATTTTTGTCTTTTGTGACATTGACACCTCTGTAGTTGAGTGAATCCAGGGCTTACACTCAACTTGATGGCATTTCTCTGACTGCATCTGACATGACTTCTGAAAACTGTATCTGATCAATTCCAAACTTTCAGGGAATGTTTTAGGTATCAATGGGCCAAACCCTACTAATTTTGGTGAGGATCAGAAAGCCGGAAAAGCCTGATTTCCACTAAAATCCAGCCTACAAACTGCCCATTTGGTGCTGTAGGCAGGGCAAACTCTCTGGTGTCTTCTGCTGCTACCCACACACATCACAGGCAGCTGCTTGCATTTCATTGGCAATGTAAGCTGAGCTGTGCACCCATTCAGCCCTCCTGAGCCTGGCCCCTTACCCCTCAACTCTGTCCAGTTCCTGGCCCCCCTAAGGCACCTCACCCCCAATTCTAGCCAGTTTCCCTCCCTCCCTCCCCCAGCTGGGCCCCTCATCCTCCAATTCTGGCAACCCACGTCCCCCACCCTGCTTGCCAGCCTTCACTTACACTTAAGTTGGCTAATACATAGAGTTTGGCCTACTTGAGCAATGAAGTGTGCAGCTCTTTAATTAATAATAATAATTAATGCATTTCTTATCTTTGTTACTGATAAAACATGAGACTTTTAGAAAGGAAAAACTATTCAAAATTTCATTTACTTTTCAACATTTATGCTATTTATTCCCCTCCACACCCCAGCCCCCGCTACTTACCCCAAAGTTGGACTTTGAAAATAGACTGGTCAGTTTCTCCTTTCATTTCTAGTCCGGTTTTCTCTCAGGTCTCATGTAGGAGCATAATATGCCAATGACTGAGTGATGGCTACTCCAAGGGGCTGCTTAAATTTAAGCAAAAAGCCACATTAATTGAAATTTCCCAAATCTTGCAAAGGTTTCTTTTAACATTTGTGTTTTTTTTTTTAATTTACTTTTGATTGTTTTGCATAAAACATGTTTTGGGGCCTGATGGAGTGTCCCTTAACGTCTTGTTTTTGTGGCTGCTTCTGCACTAACTGTGAGGCATAAATGATCAAAGGTTGGGGCAGTGGGCTATTTTTATGGCATTTCTGACCCCACTGAAACCATAGAGCACTGGAGATCTTAGGAGAGTGTTCCCTGGAGGTTCCCAGCTCAGAGAGGGTTGAATATACTGGGTGCTTCTCTGAACTGCCATACCATCTGTTAGCCCCTCACAGCCTGTGTGAGCAGAGTGGGGGGAAGGGGAGGATTGGGGAATCAGTTCTTATCCAATATAGGGAGCACATTTTAACTAATCTATGCATCCATCTTAGGTTCTTGTAGGGCCCCCATTTTCATAGTACCTGAGTGCCTCACATTCTTGAATGTACTCAACTAGTGGCTAGTCTCAGGACAGGATAGGCTATGCTGGACAGTGAGACTCTGCTCTTTGGGGCTGTCGTCTTCTGCCTTTCTGGCAAGTGGTGTTCCTCCCCGCTTGTTTCTCTGAACATGGGAAATGCAGTAATATGTGGGTTCTGTCTCTGCGGCTGGTTAGGTGGCATTTGGGTGCCAGATCTGATGAGCTCGTTCGTCTAATGTTTGATTAGAGACTGAAAACATGACTGTTCGTTGGTCCGTGAAACGAGTTTGGTGGATCTGGGTTTAGTTTCCGTTGGGCAGGTTGCCACATCATCAAAATCACTGGCACGGTTGGCGGTGACTGGCACCCATCTGGGCAGTTTCAGCAGAGAGGGCAAGGACTTTACTGGGCCATGGAGATGGCGCTCCCTCCAGGCTATAGCTAAGGGACGCTGGTGGGACAATGCGGGGAAGTGCCCCGTGCCCACGCTGCACCCGTTCTGTGGTTGGATACGATTTCGATGTCCAGGATTGTCAATAACTGGTAAACTTGCTTGGCGAGGTTAAACGTGCCGGCAGTGTTTGCCTGCTCTTTGAGGTGGGCGTGATGGTGATTGTATTAACAGATGCAAAGAAGATTTTGCAGGTGATGTAGCTGTAATGCCAACAGATGAATGTTGCTTGTTTTCTATCCAGCTGGGTCTGTGGGCGTCGCTCGGTAACAAAGGGCTGTCTGGTTTATTAGCATTGCAAAATGTGTGTCACTGGTCTGTTTGAAAAGCTGAGGGCTGCAGGCAGAGCTTGCCTTTGAGACCTTTTCTGTTGTACCTCCTCAACATGGCTCTCACGACAGCCAGGGAGGTATGCTGAGCCAGAACTGGCCCTTGACTCCTCCAGTCCCTGCATTGTTACCAGTGAGATCAATAACCTTGACCTTAAGGTGCAATGAACAGAAGCAAGAGTCAATTTTCACCATCCAATCAGCCGCCCATAAGTGGGAAACATTCACTGATTTCTGACTCCCGAGCAGCCAGGCTTGAGCTGAATCTGTTCTGTCGCAACGAAATATGATTGGATGGTTCTCCCAGAGATATCCTCCCTGCAGAGCCTCCCAAGGCCCTTTGGAGGGTGCTGCACAGAGCCCTGGTCTGGGCAGGAACGGAGACACAAACCCTTGCCATGAGCTGACAGGCAGTGATCGGCAGACGCAGAGTTCCGGGATTATTAAGGTTGCAGCTATTGGTGAGATGTCCTCAAGGGAGAATAGAGATGATGAAGCCCAGGATCTGCTTCCTATCCTCACTTCCAACACTCCCCCGCCCCCCAAAAAAGCTTAATTCAGAAGTGCTGTTTGCTGCGTCCTGGCTGTGCAATTCATCACGTGCACGTTCCCCTCTGTATGAAGAGGCAGGAGCTTTGAAACTAGTTCAGTATGAGCTCTCTCGCCTTTCCTGAGCTAAGCCTGGAGTTCTGCTCCACGTCACCCTCTCTGAGCATCCTTGGGGCGATGCATTTTGGGCTGTCCACTCAGGTCAGTCTAAACCCTGGGTTGGTTTAGTCTGGGGACCTGTAAGCGATCTGACTGCTGACGCTGCAGTGTGTTAGTCAATATGTGACCAGCATGCGTGACGTTCATGTCTTGGACGGCACGTATGTGCAGGGTTCATTAGGATGGCGATTGCAAAGTTCACTTCCTTTTTTGTGCATGTTTATTTCTTGTGAAAGCTGCCCAGTTGAGAGCCCCGGAGACCAGATCCCTGTTAGTCCAGGCAGGTACAAACTTCTCCTGTGTCCCACAATGTGCCTCACCCCCATCCTGAAGGGAGCAGCCTTAGGGGAGGAGGAGAATGTTGGTTCCATGGCCCATTACGAACTGAACTGAGCCCCTCAACTCCTGTTCCACACAAGCCTCAGTGGACAGTCATCAGACGGCAGCAAGCTTCCAGGCACCACTGTGCTGAGCTGGCTTTGAGCTGGTGTTAATCTGTCGGTACCAGCCCCATCTGACCGCCAGCCCCTCAGACTGGAGCCGGGATTTGCAACTTGATTTTGTCTCTCTTCCCTGCAGGTGCCAGCTGTTGGAGTTCCTTTCAGTGTATGTGTGGTAACAACATGTCTGTCCCCCTCCTTGCTGATGCGGTGACTGTTTCAGGGGCAGAACGGGAGACTGCAGCGGTAAGGCTGGTCTCTGCTGTGTCCATCTGCTGTAGCCTCGGCTGATTAGGGAATTAACTGGCCTTTTTCTTTACCACTGTCCTTATTAAATGCAAAGGGGATGCTGTCCTCTAGCTCAGGCCCATCTTGAGATAGTGATGCGCTCGGATAGTGATGTGTCTTCAGCTCTTGAAATTAAAAACTCACACTGCTGTTTGTGTAGGGCCTGCACAAAACCAGTGTGCTCTCTTGTACCTGCTGGGAACAAGGAACTAGCCCTGCTTCGCTGAGTTGTGCTGGCCCTATTGGTGGTGTTGCAGCACGAGCAAGGAAGGAAACGAAACAGCCTTATTTCCCTTCTTGGAAGTGGAAGCTGTCAGTTTGACAGCCCTGGAGCTGAAATCCTCTATGAGCCATCCAGTCCCCAGCGAGAGAGCCTTGCCAATTTCAGGTGTCACTAGGAACTGGGGTGAGGGGTTGGATCCATGTTTGCTCAGTGGAAAAGGATAAAACTGGAGGAGGAGCTCTCTCCAAGCCTCTAAGAGTGGATTAGTGATTACTGATATTTATAAGGTGCCCACCGCTATCTAAAAGCTAACAGTGAATAAAGAGTGGGATCGGGGAGGTTTTCAGAGGCACAGAGTGCAGGTAAGTGCCCAACTCCTGGAAAGTCAATGGGAGTGGGTGCTTAACTCCCCTTTGTGCTTTCAGAATCATCCCTGCAAAGTTCCAAAGGCAAACCCTGCACGGGCGCCTTTAAAGAGAACCCTTTTGTTTCCCCCAAGGCAGCTGTTTAGATTCGGTCCTGCTGCAGAATCAGAAGTAGCTGGAACCTCCGGGGGCCCAGGCAGGGTCACCTCCCAAGAGCACACATTGCTAGAGGACTGTCTAGTCTAGTTTTAAAAATCGCAAGTGATGAGATTTCTGCCCCTTTCTTAGGGCGAGTGTAAATCGCTGGAGAGCACCAGCCCTCAAACCTGCGCTCTCCAGAATGATTGGGTAGGCACGTTAGTGACAGGTTCAACAGCCCTGGTCTAGGCGGTTTAACCAAGAAGACAGCTTGACATAGCCAGTGCCCATGAGTCAGGTGGTGATAAATAGATCCAATAACACTAAATCTGTGTGCCTGTCCCAACTCCGTGCATCATTCTCAGATGGTCTAGATAATACTTAGTCCTGCCATGAGTGCAGGGGACCGGACTAGACCTCTCGAGGTCCCTTCCAGTCCTATGATTCTCTAAGGCACAGGGACATGTCATTAGCTTGGGTAATTTCTGCTCGGAGTGTTGCATCTGCTTTTGTTTGTGACTGAATGGCCCTACACAATGCCCCACATGGCTGCTTTTTAAATCCCAGACCTGCCTCACCACCAATTCACCAGCTGTTGTGCTGGCTAATACCTTTGTTTTCTCCTTAATTTAACAGGTCATTTTTTTACATGGGCTTGGAGACACAGGGTGAGTATTTCTGGAGCACTGGCCCTTGTTGTCTGGCTGTAAAGTGGTACAATACTCCTAGAATCCATGCTGCCTGCTTTCCCTAGGATTGTTTGGTAGCGGCACAGAGCAGAGATCAGGCAGATAAGCCTGTTGGATCTGTGTTATTTAACTACATGGAACTTGCTTCACTGCCTGTCTGGCAGGGGCGTGGTACTGCTCCTCCCCAGATGGAGAGGGGATGGTAATAGCCTAGCGAGTGCAGCAAGTTATGATCCCATGACCCTAGTGTGGGTATCTCTGGCCAACAGCTGTCTGGATTTCAGCTTGAATATTTGTGATTTCCAGCGGCCTCACAACATTCTGCTCTCCTGGCGGGAGGATTTTTTTGAAGGCTAGCAAAGTATAATTTGTTTTTCCATTACCCTGGGTGGGGGACGGGAATAAATTCTCTGCCTAGGCAGGTGCTTTATCATTCTTCGTGAGAGGCTGATTTAAGGTAACCGAAGGCTGCTGCATACAGAGAGCCCCTCTCTCTGCAGAACGCCTTCCTCTCCGATACCAACGCCTCCATGACTAGCCATTAGCTTTGTGTGACGTTTGCTGTAGGTCTCTCTGCCTAGCTGTGCAAGAGACGGGCATTTGAGAAGCTCCCCCTGGCTTGGTGCTGCCGGGGTTGATACATCATGGTGCTTAGGCAGGGAGATTGATGGTGTGGCCAGCCTCTTCGTGAACTACTGCCAGTGCGCTGAGCAGAATGGATTGGGATCCCTGCTCCAGAGCATCTGCCCCTCCTGAGGTGGACAAGAGGGTACCCAGCTCTGACTCTATAGGGATGACATGGCGGTGATGGAGTGGGGGTGCCAGTATGCAGGGTGGTACCTTGCCTCACAGTTCGTAGCATGCAAGGCTTCAACTGTCTCTTTTCTCCCCTGTTAGGCACAGCTGGGCTGAGGCGCTATCCTCCATCCGACTCCCATATGTGAAATATATCTGCCCTCATGCGTAAGTATCACCTCTGCCCCTGAGCGGGGGAAATTCTGAAACAATCTGCTAGTTAGTGGGGGGAGGATATCTCACCGGGTAGTCACTGTCCTGAATGGAAATTAGCATTGGAGCCTGTCCTGCTCTGCTGCTCCCAGGCAGGGCTCACCCCTCCCACTCGGAGCTGGCTGGGACGGGTGGTGCTATCACTGGATGTGCTCCTGTTCTGGTCAGGGGGCAGAGCTGGTGGGCTGTAGTGTTGTTCCTTTCCTTTGCCCCATCATCTCTTCCCACTTCCCCCTCCTTGCTATGGACCTTTCCCCTAGAGTTCCAGCAGGGGGAACTTGTCTTTCCCCTAGTAGATCACAGTGATGGTGAAGCTTTCAGAGGGCGCTGACTGCGGGATGGGCTGCTAAGTTGAACACATGGCACCCAAACCTTGTGTGATGGATCTGTGGCCACAGGCAGTGGTCACCAGTTAAGCCCCATGCATACAGAGCAGCTAAAGGAGAATTGGTGTCAGCTGTGCTGGGATGAGGGCTCATATCCTCTGTAGGCTGCAGCCACTTGAGGGCAACGTGATCTCTGTCCCTGGCGGTGAATCCAGCCGAGGGTGAAGTATGCACACGCTAGCCAGTGCCTGTGATGTGCCAAGTCAGCGTCACTCTCATGACCGGCCACGTCCCACTAGAGCGCAAGGCGAGCTCTCCTCAGCTGGGCACTTGGGAAGGAGGAACAAGGGATTCTAAAACAGCCAAGGAAAACGTCTCCCCAGCTCTGTAGGCAGCTGTCTGCCTTCCCCTCCAGAGTCCAGGGAATGTCCCCCCGTCTCTGTTCGAGAGGCAGATAGTTGGCTTCCAGGCACAGCTGTGTAATGAGTGAGATGCTGCTGCCCAGGGTCTGATTTCCTCCCTGTTGTGCTGCTTAGCTGTTCCCTGTGGCTGCACTGAGCAGCCAGAAGCACAGGGAGCATCAGCCTCAGGTCCCTTCTCTGAGCAGGCCAGGTCAGTATAAAGCAGTAGCGCCTGATGTGCCCTGCGAGGCCCTAGCACTGATGCCTCAGCAGCTTCTGTTTTGTTAGCAACACAAATGTGCACTCACCCGTCCCCGGGAAGCACCGGAGCAGCGTCCTAGTGAGCAGAGACCCTCCGTTCCTGGGCGTCCCATCCTAACGGGACAGGAGCGAGCAGTTGCTGCCCTGTCAGCATCTCCCCAATTCAGCAGCAGAAAAACAAAGGCAAGAGTAGAGCCAGTCCCCAAATGTCAGGTCCCTGGATGGGCTGCTAGGCAACAGCACACAACACTGCCTGCTCCAGGAGGGAAGCTGTATGTGTGTGACCTCTGCACATGTAACCGTGCCAGTGTTAGCCTGAGGGCACATGGGGACTCCGCAATTGGGGAAGGGGTAGGCAGTGAGGATTGGGCATACATTAAAAAGGGGAGGATCCCAGCCGGACATGGGGGTGCTGCATGTGGAGGGGGCGGGAGGGAACCAGATTGCTGTTCAGCCCTGGCAGGGTGGTTCCCCCGGCCCACCTGGATCGGGCGGGGGGTGGGAGGGATCCTTGCAAATACTGCCCCAGTTCCCTGCCGGGTTCTCTGGTCCCTGGTGGAGGCGAGCGAGGCCTGGTCACGCCTCGCCATAGGCAGCGAGTGTTTGAGCTAGCAATGCTCTAAGGGACTCTAGCTAAATCCTGTTCCACCCAGGTGAGCCTCCAGCTGGTGGCAGGATGTACCACTAGGGGGTGCGTCATGCTGCTTCATTCACTTGCTGCTGCCTTGTTACAAATTAAGTCTCTCTGGTGCAGGGCTGGAAGCTTGTTGGCCAAAGTGCCTCTCTGAGGCTCGCTGGGCAGCCTCTCTGGGCTGGATCCCTCGGGCGGTAGGTCCAGGATCACTTTTCTTGCTGTAGGTCCCCCGCACTGGGACAGGCTCCCACCCGGACTGTTTCGCTTGCCTTTTAATCTCTCTTTCTCTGCAGGCCCAGGATTCCTGTAACCCTCAACATGAAGATGGTCATGCCCTCCTGGTCAGTTTGTGGGGCTGCTGGCAGGGTTGGGGGGGAGGGCATGTGGGTGGCTCGTGTTACAGAGGGAGCCTGAGGTAGTGGCAGGTGGAATCAGGGGTCTCTCTCCAGCCACTCGTGGAGGAGAGGGAAAGGTAGGTAGGGAGATAGCTAAAGCCCCCCCAGGAGAGAGGGGGTGGGTGTATCTGGCCCGGAGATGCCCCTGTGCCATGGACACTGGGAGAGTGAGGAGGGGGCTGATCTCACTTGGGTTCCCTTCCAGGTTCGATCTGATGGGGCTGAGTCCGGACGCACCTGAGGACGAAGCTGGAATCAAGAAAGCAGCTGAAAACCGTAAGAGGAGTGGGGCTGAGGGCCTTTCCCCAGCCTCTGTCTAGCCCTTCTTCATCCCTTTTCCACCCGGCTCACCACGGCCTCTTGTTCTCCTGGAGGCGAGCAGGATCTATTCTCGCTTCTGCCTTTGCCTCTGCTCCTCCCGTCCTTTCCCTTGTCCCTCATCTCAGACTTTCTGTGCCTGTGTCCTCTGCCATGTGTGGAGCACTCACCCAGGGCCTTGCCCTGATTCTGCCCTGCGCAGATCCCAGCTCCCGTGTGACACTGTAGGACCCCCTGGCCATCCTGAGCTGACCCACCTCTCTCTGGCTTCTTCCAGTTAAAGCAGTTATCGAGCACGAGATCAAGAATGGCATCCCACCCAACCGCATCATCCTCGGGGGCTTCTCGCAGGTGAGCACTGATGGTACAGGCTGGGGCCGGGGACTTGGGTCCAGCCTAGCTGTCCAACCGGAGCAGCAGCATTGCCTGGATCAGCTCCCTGGCCGTGTTGGTGCAGGGGGATGGCTGGGTTAGACTCCGTGGCTTTCTCAGCTTCATTCACCAAGCAGGGGGACCTTGTCCTCCCGGGGCGGTTTGTGCATGTAGTTATACACCGGGCGGCAGTGCCCCTGGCTGGGAGGAGGTGGTGTCACTTGCACTGGGAAGGGGGGGGGGCTCCCCTCTCTGGGTTGGACTCCGCTGGGCTTTCAGCTCCAGGCAGCAGCTCTAGTGCATGGTCCTGTGCTTGGTATGTTCCAGGGCGGTGCCCTATCGCTCTACACGGCGCTCACCTCCCAATACCAGCTGGCTGGCATCGTGGCTCTCAGCTGCTGGCTCCCGCTGCACAAGGCCTTCCCTCAGGTACCGGCGCTCTGTCTGTCTGCCTCTGGGTCTGTTATTTGCTAAGGCACCATGTGGGAGGTGGGTAGGTCGGGGGGGGGGGGAAATGGGGATGGAGGGGGCTTTGCTGCTGCCCATCACAGAACCTTCTTACTCAGCAAACTCCACCTGGGGCTGCGGCCAGCAAGCACCCCAGTGGAGTCGGTGGCACTGGGGGTGATGGCACAGGTTGGCCGTAGGCAGGACACTGCATCGATCACTCATCTGCTCCCCAGCCAGGCATCCCGCCATGCCCTGGCACCGCTAAGCCCTCTCCTTTGTGCTGCAGGCAGCGAGCAACGGCGTGAACAAGGATATCGCCATCCTGCAGTGTCACGGGGAGATGGACCCCATGATCCCTGTCCGCTTCGGAGCCCTCACCGCCGAGAAGCTGAAATCTGTTGTCGCCCCCACCAAGGTTCAATTCAAAACCTACCCTGGAATGATGCACAGCTCCTGCCCTCAGGTCAGTCAGCTGCAGGCGCAGAGGGCTGGGGTCAGGGGCATCTGGGTATCGCGCCTGAGCCTGCGGGCCGCACAACATGGAGCAGGTTGTGCCCATCCTCGCGTTTCCCGTAGATGTGACTGCATGGACTACAGATCCCAGCATGCCGTGCCCTGGTGGGATCCAATCAGAGCACTGCTTGGCTCATGGTGGTGCATTGCAGGCTGGGATCTGTACTCTGTGAAGGCTGCATCTTTGTCTTGAAGAGGAGGGTGGCTGGGGCTGCAGTTTAGCTGCCATGGCTCTGGATCACGAGTCCGGGGTGAGCGCAATGGCCTTTGCAATGAGGCCTGGAGTGGGGGAGGGTGGCTATGGACCCCGAACTTCCCTGGCCCCAGGAGGGGGGAGATGGTCCCAGCTAAGGGTGTAGAAGCCTAGATTTGAATGAACCTGGGGAGCACCAGGCCCTACTTCTAGCTTGGGGGTTGTTCCCTCATTCAGGTTGGGGGCTTGCGCTGCTCACTGCCCAAGGAGCACCCAGCTCAGGGGACTGTCTGCAATGGCAGCGTCTGCCCTTGGGCTGTTGAAAAGCTGGACCCAAGGCACCCCCTGCAGTGTCCTCCCAGCCCTAGGCCCTGCCCCTGAGGGACGCTCCTCTGCGGGCACCGGGGCAGCACCCGTGGGTGACGGGCTCTTGTGGTCTGTGTCCAGGAGATGATGGCGGTGAAGGAATTCATTGAGAAGCTGCTGCCCCGGATCTAAGCAGAGCCACTCGAGACTGTCGCAGGGAAAGGACGCAAGGTCACCACCTCTGATCTTTCCCACTGATCCTGTCTGCTGCAAACGGAAGCCATGGCAACCAACCTCAACTCCAGTTGTTTTCCCTCCCTTCAATCCTTCCCTCTCCTGTCTCTTCTGCACCACGGTCCCTCAGGCGTGTGGGGTGTTGCTCCCCGGTGCTCCCTGAGTTGAGAGTGGAGCTGTTTAAGGTAGAGACTGTCCCAAGTCCAGGGTGGCCTTATCTCTCGCTCTCTTGTTTTTCCCTTGAGGATTTCGATCCCCTTGATTTTCCTGTATCAGACCCGGCTGTGGAGGTAGGCTCAGCACTAACTCAGGCTGATTTCCTTGGTCTCCTGGCTTTTCTCTCCTGTTACAGTATTAGCAGGGAGTTCCTCCCCTGGAAAGCAGGAGATATCTGGGATCCGGGGGGGGCTGCTGGCCCATGCTCCCCTGGGCTTGAGCTCGAGAGCTTTGCAAAGCTCCCTAGAAAGGCCCGATGACCCTGCTGTGTGGCCCAGCATGGCTGGGGAGCGGCTCAGTGGGGTCATGGCCTCTCGGCAGCTGCACAGTCGTTTGGTCTCTATGGCGGGACGATTCCGAGGTTTTTAAAACAAATCAGCCTCCCAGCTCAGGGGCCGTTGGTCCAGAGCGCGCTACACTGGGACTGTACCTTAAACTCTGCTCCCTCTCCCAGCAGCACAGCTCGGGGAGCTGGCAGCACACGTGGGTTGGAAAGTAGCCACCTACGTTCTCCACGCTCACCCCCCCTCCTGCCATGCGCTCTGTTACACGCACACCCCACAAGAGGAAGGCAGCCATGCCCACGGGCTCCACACTGCGTCTGATTGTGTCTCGGCTGCCAGGGCGCAGCGGCTCAGCCGGTCTAGAGATAATCGAGGGATTTCCTTCTCCTTCTGTTGCTTTTTTACAATCTTCTCCGTTCTGCGTGCTGGGGCATCCCCGTGCGTCTGTCTCCTCTCATCGCCACGCTGTTAGAAGCTAGGCAAGGAGGCAAAGACAAATCGCTGCAGTTTACAGCCAGTTTCCTAGTGTATTTCCCCTGAGATCTGCCCTGGGTGCCGGCCCAGTCAGGAGCGTCTCTTGCTGCTACTCCTTCCTCTCACAGCAGGGTCAGGTCAGGTGGAAGGACAGAAGGAAAAGCTCCAGCTGATGCTCTTGTCCTGGGCTCGGATAGATGCAGGAAGGAGACTCGTTCCCAGCCTCCTCCTCTCACCAGCATCTGCTATTGCCCACGTCAGCTCAGCTGTCTCATCGGCCTCTTCTTTAAGGGCAAATGCTGGAGAGCCTTTTCCCACTGTCCGGGGGCTGCCAGTCCCAGAGCACCCCTTGGGGCCAGTCGCTGCTACGCCCCCATAGCCCTGAGGGCTCTGCATGCTTGCCCATAGGCAGCAGCCTGCTAGCCCGAGGCGGGGATCGTCCCAGCAGGGAAGGCGAGAGCATCCCTAAGAGCTGGGGGTAGAATCGCCTGCATGAAGTCACCTGAGCCTGCCTTTGCCACAGGGGGCTTGGCCCTCTCCATGGAAGGCTGGGTCCTTCCTGCCCTGTTCAGCTGAGCCCCTAGTGCTGGCACAGGGATAAGGGGATGTGGCATCCGGTGCTGGCTGATGTATCTTGGCAGGCAGAGCAGAGGACCCGTTCTCTCTCCCTCAGAGGATCCATCCTCCTCTCCTGCACCCCTTCCAGCTGAGGGCTGGCCTCTCCCTGAACAGGCAGAGGGTGTTTGCTGTTGAGCAGCACAGGCCTTCTCCCCCCGTGGGCTCCGCCCGCTGCATTATCAGCCCCTTCTGGGCTGGAGCATAAGTGAGGTCTGGAAATCAAGCTGTAAATGTCTTTTAAAGAAACCTTTTAGGCTAAGGGCTGAATTCCTTATTCCTCCTGCAGTCGCTGTCTCCATCAGCTGAGACAGGCCCCCCACCCCCTCAGCATAGACTTAGCCAGCAAGGCTGCATGGGCTGTGGCTTACCCTGCATGGTCAGGGCTAGAACTGCCCTGGGGATGCACTGGGGCCTGCTGTGAGCTCGCAGGGTGGAGGCAGGGCTGGCTGTTCACAGCAGCAGCTGGGGTCTCTCTGCAGCCCCAGCAAGAGCAGGGCATTGCAGTGGAACTGACTCAGGCCCAGCCTAATTGGGGACCCCCCCCCCCCAGGGAAAGAGCTGGGGTGCAGCTTCACAGAGGTAGGAGAAAAGAGGGCTCAACCATTGCCCATGGATGCAGCCGTGTATTCTAGGCTTGCCCAGCCTGCCAGCACTGCACAAAGCAATAACCCTCTCGAGAGACTCAATCATGTTGGACCCATTTTTTAAAAGATTTACTTATGTCGCTGCTTGCATGGGGGAGCTGCGGGTGGGAGGAGGCAGGACTAGCTCTTCTCATTTTGGACACAGCCCTTCTGTTTCTCCTCCTTGTGTCTGTTTAAAGCTGCCCCCTCCCTGGGCTGAGGCAGCGGCAGGGGGAAATGCAGCTCGCTGGAGTTTAAATGAAGGCTGGCAGCTCTACCTGATTCTGTGACTGTGAATTGGAACATTCTGCATCTTGGCTGGCTGGGGGCCTGGCCTCATGTTCATTCTTATGTACAGTTTGGTTGAAAGTACTGGCCTGTTCTCAGAGCATTCCACGGAGCTGCTCTCTCCCTGTGTAAGCAGCAACTTCCTCTGGGCTGGGGGGCTGCTGAGGCCTCAGGGGGAGAGAGAAAGAAGCTTCTGTCCATTCCTGAAAATGGCTTTTAGTTCTCTGTCTTCCTTGGGGAGGGTTTGTGTTCCACACCCTTGGATATGAGATTAAAGAAAACATAAACCTCGCCCAAGCCGTTGAGCCGGTCTCTTTAATGCAACGAGATCCTGGGGCACAGCAGCTCTGTGCCACCTCGTCTCTAAGGCGGGAACAGTTTGAATCGCGCTGGCCCCTGAGGCAAGTCAAACTCTCAATGCATCATTCAGTAGCATGAAGTGGGAGCGGAACAGACTGGCCCCTGTGTTCCCGCTCGCTCCCAGCGTTCGCTGTAATAAAGAAAAGCTTCAGGAGCTAGGAAAACAACCCGTTGCCCCAGGCAGGCTTCGGTGAGTCCGACTGTCAGTAAGTAGCTGCCGCAGCCACGCAGGGCTGGCGATTTTCCTGTCACGTACACGCTCTGTCCCACAAGAGTTAGTGACTAAGCTGCGCCCGGCCATTGAATGCCACAGAGCTAGCTCAGCGCAGTTTGACACAACGGACTCGTAAGCACCAAGCCCTGGCTCCTGTGTCGCCAGACACAATAAAAATCTCATTTGGTCCCTTCCAGGCAAGGGTGATGGGAACTGAGGCAGGGAGCAAACTGCTCCAGGGGGAAGGGAAAGGGCAGTGCACAAGCCCCGAAGGTGGAAGATGGAAACCCCCCCAGGAGTGGGGAAGATGTTCCCACGCACAGGGGAATAGGACCCCGGGGGCAGGATGGGCTCGTGTATATGAAAATGCTGACGAGATGGCCTGGCCCTTGGGAAGCTGCAGAGTGTGTGTGGTGTCCTGTCCTTGTGAGGTAGGTGAGAAGGAAGGGCCCGTGCTCAGTGCCCATCTCTGCAATGAGGGAAGCAGCAGCTGAAGGAGCAAGCCCCTCCGTGCTAGAGCCCAGCATGGCTTGGGGGGGGTCTGTTCCTTCTCGGAGGGACTCCCCTGAATCGTGCTGCGATGTTTTAAGCTGTGCAAGTTCTGCTCAGCCCTCTGCTGCTGTAGAGCCAGGGGCTTCCCTCCCCCAGAGGCCAGGTCCTAGACTGTTTCTTGACTGCCCCGTGCCATGAGTAAAGTCAGCTGCTGGTTAAAAGGTGGGAAAATTTCACTGGCCCAGTACGACTCAGGCTGGCCCCCTGGAGAGAAAGCAACTGGAGCTCCCCGGGGACCAAGACTCTGGCAGGCCGGCACCATCCTGGCTGCTCCCTGGGGCCGACGCTCTAGTTGTTGCTGAAGCCTGTGGGATTCTGCACCTGCCACCGCCACAAATCTTCACCTGCAAGACACGGAGAGAAACTCAGGCTGTGGCAGCCGCTGAGGCTGGACTAAGCCAGCTGGGGGGAGCGTTGCTGGCTGTAACTCTAGGCCCAATGCAAGAGTCTTGAACCAAACCCTCTAGTTCCTGCAGGTGTCAGTGACTCTTCGCACCAATCCCTGGTGCCTCTCACCCAGCCTCCCCCCAGAGCAGCAGCTAAGTGACCAGGACAAGGAAGAAGCTCTGGCGAGAGCTAAAGAAGGGTGGGGACAAAGGGGCATAAAACTGAATGATGCCCTGCATGCTCCCCTCCCCCGAGAGTCACTGGGAGGGGCCAGAGGAGGCCCAGATAGAGAGTGAGGGGTGGGGGTAGGTCAGAGCACACCCAGAGTGGTTGCACTTACACATCTTGTCCAGCCCGAAGGCAGCTTTCCAGCCCAGCTCCTGCTCGGCCAGGGCTGGGTCAGCGTAGCAGGCGGCGATGTCCCCCTCCCGCCGTGCAGTGATCTTGTACTTTATCTGAAAGGAAAGGAAAGGAAAGCAACGCGTCAGGGGGGCGACAGTCCCGGAACTTCACCGCATGATGGGCTGGGGCGGGGGTCCCCAACTTCAGCACAAGGCACAGTCCCATGTAGCTAACGACCTGCCCCCGCAGACCTCAAGGCAGCAGATCCCCCAGGCTGGAAGCAGGGACAGCTGCCCTGGCTGCCGCTTTACCAGCATAAGAGGAAGAAAGATGCCCTGGAAAGAGTTAGAGAACAGCCTGGAAAGCATTGCTCATGCAGGGCCAGGGGGCTTGGGTTAGCACCGTACCTCTCTTCCTGATGCTTTCTCCATGGCTTTGATCATTTGCAGGACAGAGTAACCACTGCCTGTGCCCAGGTTGTAGATCTGCAAGTAGGACAAGAAACTTGCTGGCTCTTGCTGTGCTCAGGGCCTGGGGGCTGCCCAGCCCAGCCTTCAGTTTCACTAAAGCACCAGGCCCCACCCTCAAACTGTCCTTGACTTCTGGGGGCTCCGCTTGAGACAATGAGGCCTGATTTCTGATGAGCAGCTGCAGCTAACAGGGGCTGCGGGCACTTGCATGTCTGAAAGCTGGGGCCCAGCTGGCTCAAGGTGGGCTCCCAAAATCAGGGGCCACATGTGAAAGCTGGGCCCTGTCCAACCCCACCCTGGCAGTAACACCAGACTCACCCTGACTATAGGCTCTTTTAACGGACAGATAAGGGGCCTTGCTCTTATTGCCCAATAGAGAGAGCAGGGCAAAATGCCTTTGCCTTTATCATCACCCAGCGCTAGGGGTGTATATAATTCCCCTTGAACGACAGCCCCTACTTTGGAATGGGGGCTCAGGCCGAAGGAGCTGGCTCAGCTGAGCCCACGTTAACGTTGGTGAATCGCGGCTCTGCTAATCCCCAACACCCGGACTAGAGCCATTTCCTACCTTGCAGCCACAGTTTTCTTTCAGTTTCTTCAGAGCAGCGATGTGGCCTTTGGCTAGATCCACGACATGAATATAATCCCTGACACCTGCCAGGAAACAGGAAAATAATGCAAACCGGGTCAGTTATGGAGCTGCCGGGAATGCGCCAGGCAGCTCAGTCATCCTGGGCCACAGGGAGCAGGATTTAACAGGCACCATCTAACGTAACAGGGTTTAAGATAAACCAGAAACACTGGGCAGCGCACCTGTTCCGTCAGCTGTCTTATAATCGTCCCCAAACACGCTCAGGTACTCCCGGCGCCCCACTGCCACCTGCACAAGGGAATGGGCTCGTGAGTTCAGTCTGCTTGTGTGACACACACAGGGAACACGTACAGGGGCTCTTACACAGAGCACTAGTTAAAGACAGTCTGCAAGGCGAGTTCATACTTGAGCAACGTAGGGCATCAGATTGTTGGGGATTCCCTGGGGATCTTCTCCGATTCTTCCTGATTCATGGGCTCCAATGGGATTGAAATACCGGAGGAGAATGGCATTCCAGTCCTGGGAGAGAGACAGCGCCAGTCACACACACTGCCTGGGAAGTGCAAACAGGGCCCCAGGAAGCCGCTAGGATTCTCACGGCTCATGCAGCACCCCCTTCCATCCCTCCCCACCACGCTGTTCAAAGGACCCCTGGAATACGAACACAGATGTGTGAACATTGCCTGGTTCGTCTACGCATCTCCCATCCATATCCCAAGCCTTGAGAAAGTTCTGGTGGGAAACAGAAGGCCCAGATTTCCTAGTCCCCTGGGGAAACCTGTAGGTGGGAATGGGTCACTCGATGGAAAATTCATCCCTCATGCAGGTTGCTCCCCACAGAAGAAGCAAGGGCCTTGGCCTCTAAACTCCACAGATCCCCACCCTTGTGGGTTCTACATTAGAGGGCCAGTATGTGTGTGTCCCCGATCTCCCCTAACTCCTCTGCATGAGCAGAGCCGGGGCTTCGGGGGGCTTTCAGCAGCGCTGCAGGACTGGCTGATCCCCTTCCCCACAGGCTGGAGGAGATCTGTGTATGGAGGGGGGCCACGAATGCTGGGAAGACACTTCGGACTTAGGACCCAGCTGAGGGGAAGCCCAACCTACTTGATTCCTAGTCTCCCTGGTTCAAGGTTGTGCCCAGGGCTGAGTGGGTGCTTCTTACCTTCTCGGCCTTGCACAGGTCTCGGATCATCTCCTCAATGAAGTACTTGGATTTGCCGTAGGGGTTGGTGCAGCCCCCAACCGGGTGGTTCTCGTCCAGCGGGAGGTAGGCAGGGTCTCCGTACACTGTGGCCGAGCTGCTGAACACAATGTCCCTCACCCCGTGTGCTTTCATTGTCTGAGAGGAGAAAGCAGGGACCGGTCCAGTGCCGAGCCACAGGGAGAGCCTCTCCCGTGTGTTCGGCAACAGGAAGCTCTACGTACATGCTAGCGAGTCCTGAACTGCCCACTAACAACGAGCCCTTTATACAGGGAATGAAACAAACTGATGTATAGCCAACCTATCTGGGGACCAGACCACCTACCACTGAAATGCAGCCACTTCTGGGGTGAAACTCAGCAGCTCTTTAACAGCGGCCGCCAACACTGAGTACATGATTTGGGACAGGAAGTGAGGAATGCCGCTGCCAATTGAACAACGGGGGGAATTTAGGGAGGCAGAACAGAACTTCAAAACGTAACTGGGCCTAACACCCTGACTCTTACCAAATGTGCTGGGGACCATTAATAATCTCGCTCAACCAGACCCTTGGTTTTGCATCACATCCAAGGCACAGCACCCCCTAGTGCCATGCTGGGGTCAGTTCTGACTCGGAAGAGCCATCTACTGATTCACTGCACCTCGGCGGTGCTTAGGCTTTCCTGAGAAACCTCCTCAGCGCTGCTGACCATAGCAGGCCAAGGTCACAGTCTAGAGAAGCATATTAATTTGACCGTGAACTGGGAGAAGAGATCCTGAGGTTTCTTCCCAGGCAGCCAGAGGGGCTTTTCCATCCCTCCCATTCTTTCTCCTCTGCTCTCCTGTATGCAGCTGATACCCCCTTGTTGTAATTCTGCATGGGGGTTGGTGTCCGCCTGCATGAGCCCCTACTGGACAGGAACTCGGAGTGATGGAGGGCACAGGGTTACCCCCACAGCTGGGCTTACTCCCTGGATCTTCACTCCCCATGATCACTAAGCGGGACCCACACACAGCTCCCTGGGATCTCCTGGGATCTGTCTGCATCCCCAGCCTCATGTGCCTTTGAGTCCTTTGCACTGGGGAAGTTCTGGGTACTCCAGTGCCCTGCCTCAAGGGCTCTGCTTACCTCCAGCAGTCGAATGGTCCCCGTGAGGTTCACCTTGTAATACTCCAGGGGTTTCTGAACGGACTCCCCAACGGCCTTCAGCCCCGCAAAGTGCATCACAGCTGAAAAACGGTGCTGCAAGGAAACAAAGAGGCCAAGGGTCAGTGCTGGCTGGGAGAGAACTTGGGTTAATGACACCAACAAAAAGCCCCTAGGGTTGGTTGGAAATTTTCTGTCAAAACTATTTTCGACTAAACAAAATGTCTCTAAAAAAGTGTCTGCTTGCCACAGAAAAATTCGACTTTCGGTCAAAAGAACCCCAACACCTGAAAACCTCCAAATTTTGATTTGGAAATGCCACCATAGTGGCTCCTGGGAGTTGTAGTTCAGGTGCCTCATGCTCCCATTCTTCTCTATGAGCCATGTTCCCCAGCCAGACTGCATCTCCCATGGTGCACTGTGGCAAGCCAGCAAGAAGGGAGACTGTTGTGAGTCAGGGGAGGTGTACGCACCCAGCCCATAGAGAACAGGGACATGAGGCATCCAAACTCCCAGGAGGCCCTGCTCTAACAGTTCCAAAGCCACATTTTTGGTTTGCATCCTGCTTCTGGCAGAAATTTTTCAAGTTTTTGATTTCTTTTGCCAGAAATGCTGAAATTTTCCATGAGGGAAAAAAAGAAAAAGAAAAAAAAAGACAATGTTCTAAAACCTCCCTGTGTCCCGTGGATACGTTTGTCTCGCTGCTCCCAGTCTAGAAACACCATCCTGCTCCCTCAGCACATGCTCCAACAGCTTCCCCCTGTCAGCACAGCACCTTGCGCAGCAGGAAATGCATATTCCCCCCTTCCCCAGCAGGATCGCCGTGTGCTCACGTGCTCACCTTCTGAAAGAGCTCCCGCAGAGCTGCCTCATCAAGGATATCCAGCTCCTGGAAAAGAATCTTCTTGCCCACAATCTCCTGCACGCGCTGCAGGCTTTCGGGAAGAGTATCTCCCCCTGGGGAGACAGGTTATTCTGTAACGCCAGGAGAGATCAGGTCTTGACCATGGGCACTCAAGTGGGACTGAGGGTCACCAGGGGCCACAGGATGACAGGACAGAGCCCAGGGGGGCAGTGGCAGTGGCTCTCCTTACCTCGGATGGCATTGTGGAAATTATCGATCACCACAGGGATATAGCCGGCTTCCACCAGCTCCAGGACGCAGTGGCTGCCGATGTACCCAGCTCCACCCGTCACAAGGATTTTCTCTGCCATCCTCACCTAAGATGGGATGGGAAAACCCATTGAGTGGGATGACAAATGGAGAGAATGGAGTGAAAGGGGCAATCTTGGGGGCTGGACACTGCAGTGACAGAAACCTTAGAAATAATTAGACAGATGGAGCATAGGAATTGCCTTAGTAGGACCTGTAGGTTGGATTATCTAGCCAGGATCCCACCTCTGACAATGACCAATCCCAAATCATTGAAGAGAGTAACCTGTCCAGAGGGTAACTTGTTAACCCAGGCAGCTAGACACCTAAATACCTCTAAAAATCTGGCCCTTTGTGCTTGTCTTATGCCCTAAATCATGAGAGTTTATCTCCAATCCCCTGGAATGGCCATCCAAGGAACTGCTCATTCTTTTTTGAACCCTACTAAGATCTTGGCCTCATTGATACCTAGTGGCAATGAGTCCCACAGGCTAATTTCACATCATGTACAAATGAATTCAGATTTAATTGTGTTGCCTCATATTTTAACTGATGGTCCTCTTGTTCTCATACTATGAGGAAGGGTAAATAGCCGCGCCCGATCTACTTTCTCTTGCCCATTTATTGATTTATATTCTTCTATAATGTCACCTCTAGTTTTCCCCCCCCTCTCTCAAAACTAAACACTCCTAATCTTTAGTCTCTTTCCAGGGCCTGATCATTCTCATCACCCACCTCTGGGCCCCTTCCGATTTCTGTTGAGGCCTCTGTGAGAAAGTGGGGGGGGAAATCACCAGAACTGAACAGAACATTCAGGACCAATTAGATAGATATGTACTAAGCACATGGAAATCTGAAAAACATCCCGCCTGGGAGCAATTTCACCTCCGTGGAGTTTTCCTGAGGGAGAGGGTTTATGAGACATCAGCGCCTCCAAAGCACTTAGCAAACGCTCACTAGTTACCCCTGCGAAGAAGGGATTTATTTCCATTTTGCACATGGGGAAACCGAGGCACCGAGAGGCAGCAACTTCCCCAAGATCACACGATGTGTCAGTATCAGTCTGGGATCAGAGCTCAGGCGCTCCTAGCTCCCCACCCTGTGCTCAGACCACTAGCCCATGCTGCCTTGCACGAACGGGAGCTCATTCTGAGGTTAGTCACCTGCTGGACATCACAAGCAGTCCCACAGCAGCCAACAAGGGCGTCGCCAAGGGAGGATTAGAGCTTGAGCCAGGTCAGATGAGCTCTGAAAAATAAAGCTCGCTGTGCCATGCAAGCGAACCAGCCAGCAAAGCACGGGTAGCCATCCAGCCGACCCTACCCTGCCGCAAATGCAGGATTGGCCCCGACAGACTCCAGCCCCAGTTGGGGGAGAAAAGCAGCATAAATCTACACCCAGGTTAACCCCATCCCCAAACGGAAAAGGTCGGGACTACAGCAAACCACCTGCTCCATATCTAGCCAAACAAACAAATAAGCCCAGCCTCATTTCCCTGCAAGGGAGAGAGCCCTGCCTGACAGGAGGAGCAGGGACCCAGCTGAGGGTCCTTGGCCAGCTGAGGGAAGAGGCTCTTTCTGTGAGTGGCCAGCAGGGCCGGCTCCAGGCACCAGCCTGGCAAGCAGGTGCTTGGGGCGGCCGCTCTGGAGAGGGGCGGCACGTCCAGGTATTTGGTGACAATTCGGCGGACGGTCCCTCACTCCCGCTGGGAGCAAAGGACCTCCCGCTGAATTGCCGCCGGAGATCGCGATTGCGATCGCGGCTTTTTTTTTTTTTTTGGCTGCTTGGGGCGGCCAAAACCCTGGAGCCGGCCCTGGTGGCCAGCTGGGGAGCTTGAGGAAGGAGGCAGCAGAGTCAAATCACTTCTTCTCTCTGTAGTGGAGAGAGTAGGTTCCACCGAGGGGACGCTCAGCGAAGCCGTTCAGGGTGTAGCAGTCTCACTTAGGAGTCAGAGGTTACCTTCCACGTTTCCTAGTCCTTCGTATGCCCTCCGCTAGGTCCCTGCAGGGAAAGAGGTTCCAGAGAGCCGGAGCTGGGGAGGTCTCTGACCTGGCAGGAATGACTAAGTCTATGGGGAAATCCACCCTCTTTTGCCCAGGAATAAACATTAGCTGCTTGTCTGTGCTGTCTAGTACAGCAAGCCGGCCGGAAACGCACTCCAGCCTTCCCTCACACACAGGCCGCTCTGAAGCGCCAACAGTTTAGTTCTAAACGCCCTGATGCCAACCTGGCACAGCCTTCCTGAGTCATTCCTCCTGCTCAAGGAGGCTTCTGTCCTTCTGCTCTCAAGGGAGCGGGAAAGGCTGAGCAGGAAGTGATGCAAGGGGCTCCTTCTTCAATGGACTCTGTTAGCAAACAGATCCACTTTCTTCTGGGCTGGACAGCGTGATGCCCCCCATGCAGACTATGAGAGTAAAAGGAGGCTGGGTGGGCTAAAGCCAGGAAATACAGTGAGGTCTGTCCTGAGGCCTCCCCGTCCCGCCTAACAGCACAGTCCAATTAGCTATCACCTGAGGCCCCAATGGAGGTATGTAGCTGCAGGACCTACCCATGACTCGGGTGTGTAAAGCACTCACTGGCACCTGGCACTCCCGGCTTTGCAACACAGGTTAAGTCCCTGCTATCTGCTCTCCCTCCCAAGGCAGTTCCCATTCTCCCTCCTTTTCAGATAGCATTTAACTATCCAGATTAAGGCTCCTCACACACCTAAGCACACATACCACCACCACCGGCATGGATTTTGCACCAATTCCGGGGTTACTAGCGTCACTTGCTTTATTAGGTTGTACAGTCCGTTGGTGGGAGGCTTGGCTAGCCCCCAAAGCCATCCCCTTTGCCCTATGCATCTGGGTGTTTAAATACCCCTAATGTAAATCGAGGCACCAGCCTCCATCACAGCCTATGAATTGGAACCAAGCAGCTATTGAAATCCTGAGCTACCTGCTGGTGTACAAAATTCTTGCTTATTGACTCACATAAGCCTAAGGCATCACCATCTGCACGCTGGACTGGTTCAAAATAAGAACTGGAACCTTCGGGCTGACACTTCATGCAGGACATTGATTTGATTTCTTTTTCTAAGTCGTTTTACAGGAAAGGTCTGAAACGTGAGCTCAGCATCCGCTTTCAATGGGCGCGGCTGCTGGGAGGAAGGGGGTACAGCACACAGCACATGACGTCTGCAAATCTCCACCTGCCAGGTGCACTTTCTCCACCTTCAGCAAACTTCTCCACGAAAGAGGAAGTGGGTAAAAGAGTAACAGGGAAACCTGAACCATCTGCAGGCAGCTGCATGGAGAGGACAGTCTTTTGCTTATGTTGCTATATAATAAATTAAGGGGAAGGAAAAAAACACCAAACGTCTAAACCAAATCCTCAAATTACATAACCTAATTTGAATATGGGGCCCAGGGGCCTGGGAGTAGGGATTCCCAGCTCTGCCACTGTGGGAATTAGACAGGTGACCGAACTTCTCTGTTCTTCTGTTTCGCCATGTGTAAAATGGGATAAGGGTAACTACCTCCCCGGGTGTCAGTTAACGTTTGTAAAGAACTCTGAGCTTAGTACAGCACAAAGGATTATTTCAGGGTGCTCCTGTTCTGTTTTTCTCTCCCACCTGCCTGTACAGAACCCTCCTCTCCCTGCCACACAATTCAATGATCTTCTTGCTGTACGAAGAGCTCTCATTTATACCTGGCTACCGACAAGTCGTTTTCCAGCCCGAGTTCCCACACAGTCCAATAAAACCTCCCTTAGTAAAGCTACAACAGGGCCCTTTGCTCCCTCATGGGCATATGCAGTGCCAGCTGGTCCTGTTTCCTCTGTGGGTCTAACTCCATTATAGGCCCCAGACCCGCCTGGGGGTTATAACAACCCTACTACTATTTGGCTGTATTTCTCACCCAGCCAGGCACTCCGGCCGCCTTGCAGGCCACACTGCTGCCTCAACCACCCTTAAAAGCTCAGTTAGGGTCCAAAGCAGGTTTCCAGTCTGTTCCCTCTGCGGGAGGCGATCACCCTCTACGCTTAGCTGGGAGTCTGAGCTGGAACCTGCCGCCCCCTCTGCACCGGGGATGGCAAACGCATCCCACTGCTACCGCTGCCTGAATCCCTGTTTCAGGTCAGAAGAAAACTAATTTGCCTAGCAGGACCAACAGGCTCCCTGTCCAGCGGGTGTGTGAATGGGGCCACGCGGTCAGGCAGTAGGACTGCGCTGGCTGATTAGAGGGACAGGAGCCGGTCTGCCTTTCAGAAGGCGATATGGGAAGGTCAGTGACAGCTACGCCCTGAGCCCCTTGCCGGCCTGGAACCTAGGCGGGTGTGAGGCACGAATGGCCTTGGGGATGGGTCTGTCCTTCGGGAGGCGTCCCCTGAGAACAGAGCCTCCCTGGCTGCAGCCTGTGTTCCCAGGGCTCAGCCCCTCTCTCTGTGGCTCGGGGGGCGGCGTGGGCAGCCCCTTCCTCACATGGCCCTGCGCGCCCCCCCGCAATGCCCTGGTGCCAGCAGTGGATGTGGAGGGGCAGGATTCGGATTCAGCCCAGGATCCCACTTCTCTCACCACGGGTGTCGGTGCTCCGGGAGGGGCCGGACTCTACTGGGGCAGCCGACCCCTGCACTAACCGACACCCCCACGCTGACTAGCCAGGATCCCTGACCCCCATCACTAGCCAGCACCCCCCCTGACCCCTGCACTAGCCAGGATCCCCACCCCACCCCCCACTGACCTCTGCACTAGCCAGCACCCCCACCCCCACCCATTAGCCAGCACCCCCACCCCACCAACCCCTGCACTAGCCAGCACCCCCCCGACCCCTGCACTAGCCAGAATCCTCGCCCCCCACCACTAGCCAGCACCCCCACCCCACCAACCCCTGCACTAGCCAGGATCCCCACCCACTAGCCAGCACCCCCCCCACCGACCCCTGCACTAGCCAGAATCCTCGCCCCCCCCACTAGCCAGCCCCCACCCTTACCCCACCGACCCCTGCACTAACCGACACCCCCCATTTGGCAGGGCCCCCGAGCTGTGCCCTCACCCCCCCCCGTCCTGCTACCACGTCCCCGGCAGGGTCACTCACCGCGACGGTCTCGGCTCTTCCCGGCTCTCGCCCGTGGCGCGGCCCCTTTAAGAGAAGAAGCCCCACCCCGGGCCTCAGGGACACGCAGCCGCTTCCCCATGGGAACGTGTCACTCCCGCCCTCACGGTACGGGAACGGGACATGGCCAAATCGAGCCAAACGCGGAGCTCTGGATCAAACCACTTAGCTCGGGGCGGGGAGAGACGCGGGGAAGGGAGCTAGACTGGCTCAGACCATCGCTGCCTGTGGAGGGAGAGAAAGGACTTAGACCAAACCACTCTGGCTATTAAGGGGGGGAAGAGAAATTGGATGAAACCATTCCTTCCTCCGAAGGGGGTGGAAACTTGCAGTACTACACTTACAACTGGGGTCAGGCCTTTGTCCTGCCCCCAGGACTTGGCCTTGGGATTTCTGCAGCCTCCCCTTTGCAGTGGGGTGGCAGCTGTATCCCTTGTGGTCCCAGGCTGCAGCACAAGCAGGCAGGGCCATGTGCAGTATTGCAGCCTGGGGAACTGGGCCCTGCATGCTAAGCAGGGTTGCCAGTTCTGGTTGGGGTATTCCTGGGGATTTCATCACATGACTATCTTTAATTAAAGATCATTTAATTCCTGGAGGGTTGGCAGCTCGAAATCTGAGCCACTAGTCACAGGAGAGCAGGGCAAAGAGCAACCTCAATCACTCCCACTGCCAGAGTGTGCCCCCCCCCCCCCAAATCTCTAAACCACAAATCAGCCTGGCCTGAGCAAAGGGCCCCAGCGAGGTTTTTCCCTAACCCCTCAGCTGGTTCACAAGAGATCTTGTATTTCCATGGAGCTGCAGCGAGGTTTAAAAGAGGGATTTTATTCCCACTCTCCAGCCTTGGAGTTTGCTGAATTCCAACATTAGCTCTATTGCTAGAGCGAGAGCAACTACTGCTGTGACTGCCAAATGCTGCCATCTAGTGGCATTCACTGCCAAGGGGTTGATGCTGTACTACAGTACCTGACACACAGTACTGTTATGAAAACACTGCCATCCCTAGGAGTTAAAGCCAAGTGGTACCCCAAAAATGCTCCATTCCTGTGTCTCATGGACAGACTGAGACAGAAAGCTGTTAAAACAGAACCCCACTACAGGGCAGGAGCACCAATGTCACTATTACCAATGCTGTAACAATTTAATGCATTTTTAAAACTAACCTGGCGTTATTGGCACATCAGCTGGACACTAACAGGCACTGATCATGGTCATTTTAAAATATAATTTATTGACGTTACATAAACATATTTATGATTCCAGTGTTTTGCAAAAAGGATGTTGGTGCTGTAAAGATCATCCGAGTGGAAAGTAAGTAATAATGAGCAGAGGTTAGCCATGAAACAGACGCCCACCTGCCATCAATACAAGCTTTGTGTATTAGTAATTGGCTCAGGCTATTTTTAATAATCCATATTTTTATGAAAAAAATAATAATCTGTTCAGTGATCAGAGTTCCGTAGAAACTGAATGGCTGACAATTCCAGCTGATATGAGAAATTCAAGTGAAGTACAGAAATTATACTAGTTCTGTTTAATTTCTTCTTGCCCTGTTGGTCTAGATCAGCGGTTCTCAAACTGTGGGTTGGGACCCCATTTTAATGAGGTTGGCAGGGCTGGCTAAGACTTGTTGGGGCCCGGGGCCAAAGCCAAACCCCACCATCCGGGACCAAAGCTGAAGCCCAAGGGCTTCAACCCTGTGCGGTGGGGCTCAGGTTACAGGCTCACTGCCTGGGGCTGAAGCCCTTGGGCTTTGGCTCCCTGACCCGGGGTGGTGGGGCTCAGACTTTGGCCCCACCATCTGAGGCAGTGGGGCTCGGGCAGGATCAAGCTTCAGTCCCCATCCTGGGGTCATGTAGTAATTTTTGTTGACAGAAGGGAGTCACGGTGCAATGAAGTTTGAGAACCTTGGTCTAGATTTTCTCTGCAGTGCAGTAACCATAAGGCACTTCTTCCACACTCTCCCAATTAGCATGCTGCTCACACAGTAGCTATCTTGATACGATTTCCTGTCACACATTTAGTACTAAGTTGTTCTTTCCCCCTGGTTTAATCACACCAGATTTCTGCTACTCTAATATTTTAGATGATAAAATCTGTATCTTTCCCTAACACAATTAACTGAAAAGCATCTTATGACCCCATACCCTCCTCCACTACTGAATACTAAGAGCTAAGATCCAAAGCTGGATCTACACCCTTGATATTATTCACTCCGATTTATAGAATAAAGGTGCTTCCTTGCGTTTTCAATCGTAACTTTTGCTTGTGATGCGAGGAGAGGATTGCTCCATGCTGTTCTGAGAAGCTAGCACAAGTCTGACCCAAGGAAAGTGCTCTAACTGGGTGCACTGTAGTGTTGGTCCTATGCGGACAATCCCCTGGAGGTGGTAATTAACCTGAGTGGATGCTCTTCTGAGCTCCCTGTTAATCTCAAACAAAACAAAAAACATTACCCCCATCAAGAAAGCTCAAAGAAATTTCCGAGGTGCCTTGTGCCTTCTGTTCTCTGCATAAAAGCAACGGTGTGTCCCTTACTCTTTCCTCAGATACAAGTTTGTCCATTTCACGACAGCGCTGTCAGAGGCCAGCTCCCCTCTCTTTAAAGATGTGTAACATGTTCATTGAGGTCTGCTAAAGCATTCTTGTTTATTTCATTTCTTTGTAGATTCTACTATATATAGTCTCCCGTTCACCAAGTCCAAAGCCCAAAAGGGAATATTTAAGAACCCAGACAGCAAATGTAAACTTGGCAAGGCTCCAGATCCTCACTGAGCCTTTCTTCACTGACTTGTCGGAGGAGAAACTGATCCGTGTCACAGTCTGCTGGAAGCCTGAACCACTTTTGAACTGGTTCTTCTGTTCAGTGCTTTGCAGATAAACACACCTGCCTCCATCAGCTTCTGTAGATCCACTCCCTTTACGAGATAGAAATACAACAGTTTGTACATGCACCTGCTGGGTGGGCTGCACAACTACGCCACCATGTTCCAGACCAGTGGGCAGCTTTGGAAAATGGTATGCTGTTTTGGTAAGACTCTTGGCAACTGGTCACTAGTGGGAGGTATAGCTCAGTGGCTTGAGCATTGGCCTGCTAAACCCAGGGCTGAGAGTTCAATCCTTGAGGGGGCCATTTAGGGAACTGGGGTAAAAATCTGTCTGGGGATTGGTCTTGCTTTGAGCAGGGGGTTCGACTAGATGACCTCCTAAGGTCCCTTCCAACCCTGATATTCTATGATTCTATGACAGCGGAATTTAAAGTCATGCATTCCTTAGTATGCACTCAGGGAAAAGAGCAGGGGAGAGAGAAGCTCAAGATCAAAGGCACCATAAAGGAGTGAGGTTAAAACCAGAGGAAGTGGGGCTGCGGGGGAGGGGACACAATGACCTTTGAAGCTGGAACAAGGATCAGACATGCCCATATTCTTTCCCTTGTGGACTCGTAGAAAGGTGGCATGTAGGAAGTTCGTTCCTTATTACTGCTCAGTGTGGGCTGGGTTTTCTGGCTGTTTGCTTTTAATGCCCCCAAGTCCAGGCTCACTGATTCCAACTCTCTCCCTTATCCTTGCCGTGCCAGACAACAAGGGCTCTTTCAGCCAGACAGAGACTCACTATATTTGTGTGGCAGCCACGTGAGTACAGGGAAGCTACGTCTGCCAGTCAGGGTGTCTGTAGGTCAAGTTTCAAAGCCACGTATTGAGCCCTGATGGAAGCCCCATTAGAGAGAGCAGTGTGAGCACGCAGTGCCATGACAGCTGTGAGCCCGCTGTACTTACGGTATGAATCCCCAGGCCATGTAGCATGTACACCAAGTCTTCTGTAGCTACATTTCCTGATGCTCCTTGTGCGTACGGGCAGCCTCCGAGACCAGCAACTGAGGAATCGACCACACTCACACCCATCTGAATACAAAACAGGCATCTGTAAAACTGCCTGCAGCTCTGGTCCCATCGTACTGTAAATCAGAGCAATAACACTGCCCACCTTTGGGCCAAAGGTACAAGCATCCTCTGGCCCGGGGAAGAGTTTTAATAAAGAACTGAACAGGCATTCTGGGCAGTGTCCCGGTCAGTCCCTTGCTCCTGGCTGGGTTGGGGTGAGCTGTGCTGCAGATGCAGCCAAATCCAGGCAACTGACAGCCCTGAGAATTGCTAGTCCAGTCTCTAATGCAGCCCAGATAGGTGAAGCACCCAGCGTGCTCGTTTTACTCTCATGTGCCATATCAACGATGTTCCAATAGAAACGTCCTGTACTAGTTTGCATATACGCCTGATCTTCTATTAACTCATTCTCAGGGCCGTAAAGTGCTAGTAACACCTCCCTCCCTACAGCAGTTTGACAGACTGTTGTAATTTGTGAGCAAAGCACGGGCTGCAGCAAACTTACCAAAGTGCTTGTTTCAGATACCGCTCACTGCAAAGAACGTTGAGTCTAGTTACTGCAGCCCCTATGGAACCCAGCATAATCCATTACTCGGATACCACTGGGTGAAGAACCTCAAGTGCTGATGTACCTGAACCAAACCGAGGCACAACTTCGGGACTTGTGACAGTTTTCTCTCACACCCACCATGATTTTCTTGGTTTGCATATATAGCTACACATGCACACACAGGAAAGGGGAGGGTGAGAGACCCTCAGCACATGAGGGGAGACAAAACCCACAGAGATTGTTCACTGAAGTAAAGGAACAGTTACCTGAAGTGCTACTAAGGTGTTGGCGAGAGCCTGCCCATAGGTATCATGGCAGTGAACGGCAAGGGCCCCGACGGGTACCTCTTTCATGACTGCAGAGAGCATTTCCTTCATGCTCCCAGGGGTCCCAACACCGATGGTGTCACCCAGGGAAATCTCGTAGCACCCCATGGAGTACATCTTCTTGGATACCTGCCCCCAAAATGACACACTTAATGAGAAAACAGATTTGCTATTAGGATCCCAAAGCACTTCACAAATTGAGACACAAGCTACAGAGAGGGATCGTTTCACTTGCCCTGAAAATGCAGCCACCTCTGGGGTGGAACAGAACAATCATTAGACGGCACCCAGGAACACTAGATACACACAGCTGAGGACAAGAAGTGACGAATACCACTTCCAATTTAATCTGTCTCAGCATTTACTTCTTCACTGAGCTGGCAATTGACAAGAACACCCCTAATTCTCGGTGGGAGATGTGGTCATTAAATTTCCAGGTGCATCTCCACAAGCAAACAGCACCCGATTCTGTCTCGTGAAAAAGCAAATCTCCAAGCAGCTCAGGGCACTGGATTCTTGTCCCAAGCGTAAAGAGGAGTAGATAGCCTCTGGCTACATTTATGGTGTACTCACCTCTGCAACCTTAGCAGGGGCAATCTTTCCTTCATAGGGACAACCAAGAACACAAGAGACATACCTGCAGTTAAAGCCTGAGATTAGCAGGGGGAATTTGGAGGTGGTGGGGGAATAAAATAGAGGCTAAGTCAGTCACAGTACATGCAGCATTCTAAATAATGGGAAATTTCTACTAGTTTTCCAAAAGCCAAAGGGTGGAATTCCGTGGACAAAGGCTTACGGCCTCAGTAATAATTCCCTCTGCACAAAGAAACAGGCAGCCATTACTGAGGTCAGGCACTCTGCTAACCATTGAATACTTCACACCACAATGCAGGGAGTATTTGTGTGAAAACTAATAAATGTAATTCTGGATCCTTTGATATAGTGGCTCTCAACCTTTTCAGACGACTGTACCCCTTTCAGGAGTTTGATTTGTCTTGTGTACCCCCATATTTCACCTCACTTAAAACCACCTTGCGTACAAAATCCGACATAAAAATACAAAAAAGTGTCACAGGACACTGAAAAATTACTGACTCTCTCATTTTTACCATATAATTATAAAATAAATCAATTGGAATATAAATATTGTCCTTATATTTCAGTGTATAGTATATAGAGCAATATAAACAAGTCATTGTATGAAATTTTAGTTTGTACTGACTTCGCTCGTGCTTTTTATGTAGTCTGTTGTAAAACTAGGCAAATATCTAGATGAGTTGATGTACCCCCTGGAAGAGCTCTGTGTACCTCCAGGAGTACACGTACCCCTGGTTGAGAACCACTGCTTTGATAGAGCCCAAGATATAATTAAAACTAAGAAAATGGAAGCTTAAAAGCGGTGAAATCTGCTTTCCACCGGGAAAGGAAGATTTTATTATTTGAGACCTAGTCACATGCATGCCGCAGCACTGAGAGAACCAAATTTGAGAGACCTAGTCATATGCTGTACAGTACTCGTAGCCAGGAGCTCAGTTCAGGACAGGTTACGCTTACAAGTGGCCTCAGCACGGTTTGACCATTGCAGAAGAGAGGAAGATTACTCAATAATGGTATCTGGTCAATGAAAAGGGATTAGGGTTCTTTTGTTTCCAAAGTCATGCAGGCAGCACCAACGCAATTTCCTGGCTTACTCGTGAGAACAGGAAGCAAAGTAAATAAAATCAGCATAAAAAGAGATTGGAGTAAATCCCCCTCCTCTGCTCCTGGGAATTTAAAGTGGGTCATAAGCAGCAAATGGGAGGGACAAGAGGTCCCAGGCTTCACTGTTGGCTTCAAACCAGTACAGTCAAGTGGTCATCACCTCCCCAATCATATTAGCCTTAGGTACTTCTAGCCTGCCCATGCCCCAGTAGTCTTACTTTTCCTATATGGTTTGACATCATTAGCACAGGTTAACAAACTGGTTTGATAGAGCACTGGGCTCTCTTACCCTCTGACTGGAATACTGGCCGCTCCTGCTGCATGCATCACTTCACTGAACCTCTGCAAACTCTCCTCTATGGAGCAGTTAATGTTCTTCTTAGTGAAGAGTTCAGAGGCTGCTCCAAAGATAGACACCTCCTTGGCCCCTGCTGCCACCTTCCAACAGGGAGATGAGAAAGAACCGAAGGACTCATTTCTGCTGCTAATAAAGCACTTGTGAAAGGTCTGATCCTGCCAGGTGCTGAGCATCTTCCACTCCCATTGACGTCAAACCCAAAGGACAGGCCCAGCTCCCACTGACTCAGCACCAAGCAGTTAAGCTCAGTGTTATCACTGGCAGCCTTGGACAGGTCAATATTCTTCTTGTTATACTCGCATGATTTATTGTGGAGCTTGGATTCTTGCACATCACTGGGAGAGCCATGTGATAATACTGCCACTTCACATTTTGCCAAACAAGTATGTATCAGCAATAACCTCAATGGAATGAGAATTTGTGCGGCTGTAGCAGCCTGTATCAGTGACAGATATACGCTGAAGGGATAAAGCTATTTACTCCAGAGGTGCAGTTACAGATCATTACTGGAACAAAACCTTATTCTACTGAGGTTATCGGTCTTATAGGATTTGCAATTTTAAAATGTATTTTCCCCTAGAGAGAATTTTTCACAAAGTCATTTGTACAGAGTACGTTGAAAAAAACCCGAATTTTCTTGGTCAGCCATGCTTTGTAGACCCTTTGCGATTTCTAAAGCTGTCTGTTTTTAATAAAAGAGCTTTCTCCCTTACAAACCAGATTCTCATCTCAATTCACCCCACAGCAAAAACATAATCCTTGGTTTGCGACATCTGAGAGTGTCACGGAAATGACTGCAAAGCCATAAATGCAACACTAAAGCCACCTCCGCAGGATATAGTGGAAGCAGAAGTTCAGTTGTGGGACAGAAGGGTTTGTTTAGACAGAAATACCACTGCTGATGACCAGAAGTGGGGGTGGGGCGGGAATCAAGAACACCGATTTTTGCATTATAAGTGGCATGTTTCAAGTTCCCCACTAGGAAAGACCCTCTTTAGATAAACTACAAGCGCTGCCTGCTGCACGTTGATATAAAAAATTCAGAGGAAATGTTATAAAGTACAATTTCTACATATCTCCCACTTGTTTGAAGTGCCCCCCCCTCCCCCGACAATGACATGCATAATGCACACTAGAGAACTCAGACCCGAAACACAATACATTTCTCTTACCGCTGCTTGAAATCCTTTAAGATTAGGGGTCAGTACTGGGTAGCTGACACCAGGAAATTTCTGAATTCCCTGCAAGACTTCTGTGTGGTCAGCCATCTAACCAGCAAATGGGAGAAAAACTTTAGAATATACGAACAGGCTACTTATCCAGTAAGTTAAAAAAGCTTCTTAAAACCGTGTCTCAAATAAGAATCCAAAGGACTAGCAAAAATTCAAGATTTAAAGAGATGGCTCTTTAAAAGCCAAACAAAATTGTACTGAAAACATTGGGGATATTTTAAAGTGATCACTTAAGAGTCATCCACTCAAGGAGGGGCTCTCTTGTGCTCTTTTTCTTGTGTTTCCATTTGAATCTGCATTTATTCTTCACTGGGGTTCAGAGGGAAGCTCTAGTCTGTCCTATTAATATTACATCAGTCATAACTGCCTCATTATCACCCTATGCTCCCTCACTCTACCTGTCATCTCTTGTCTTATAGTTGATTGCAAACTCTTTGGGACAAGGACTCTTTGTTATTTGTGAACAGAGTATTCTGCATAAGGCCCTAATCCCTGAGACAAATATTATTTGGCCTACCATAATACAAATAATAATAAATGCTAAAAGTGATCTAACTATAAGAGAGAACAGGCCAGTGAAGCAATGCTAGGTTATTCCAGACTCAGGAAAGTTTAAGACCAGATCTAACAGTGTAAAAGATAACATTAACAGGCTAACAGCTAACTTTCTGCAACCATATTGAAATCCACTTTCTGATCACACAAAATCCCCAAGTAATGCCAGCTACTGACCTGAGGAACCCATTTGGGAGAAACAAAGCTGGTAGCCTCTATGACTGGAAGTCCTGTTTCAGACAGCATATTAATTAAGCTGATTTTCACCTGTGTAGGGACAATATTCTACAGGGAGGAAAGAGAAAAAACCTAGATTAAAGTTACTTTACAACAAATCTTGTTAATACAACAAAAGATTATACATCTGTTGAAAAACCCCTTTCCCAGAAGAAACAAAGTGATAATACAGATCTACTTTATTAAAGGATTTGTTCTGTTATCTATTATAACATGATCTTTAAGTAAAATGTGATGCTTTATTCTATGAGTTTCTAAGCACAGTACTATTCAGAATTTGGAGAAGATTTTTCAACAATCCCCATCAGTTTCACTCTGCTGCTAGCCCATCCAAAGCAGAACACTTGTGCCTTGGTTGTATGGAACAACCTCAGAAGCAGCAGCCAATCACACAGATAATTAAGGGGCCAATCCTGCAGACTGCTCGTAATTCCCACTGAAGCAAAGGCACTGTCTACACAGCCAAAGCAACTGAATTTAACTATGGCTGTTAACAGCTGTGACTGAAAGGGGTTATGATAAATTTGGTCTGGCCTGTGTGGACAGGACCTAAATCACAAGATAAGCAAATTAACAGGGCCAAGCTTTAGCCCTTGCCTAGCTAGGCTGCAATGAGTTCAGCTACAACTGAGTTAACAGCCATTGTTAAGTGTGGTTGTGGTGCATGCAGGGCCTCCCTTCATTTTGTGCACTGCAGTCAACTCTGGTTGAACTGCTGAAAAGAAGTCTCACTTCCCCTTAATAGGGGATATATCACAGCTATGTCATCACAACCACAAACTGGAGCTCTCCAGCATCAACCACAAAACATGGCTCTTTCCCAACAAGCTAACAATGGAATTTTTGCTATACCAAAACTCACTCTTGCTGCCTAGACTGTACAGACTATACCCTACTGTATAGGGTATAGTCTATACATACTGTTCAGTGCGGATAGATTTTTTTAACAGGTAAACAAAGCAACTGACTTAAGACAGAACGTAACACCCCTTGGCTTAGCAGCCTTGCATATGTCCTCAGTAGTTTTATTTGTGTTCTCTCTCAGGAATTTAATTACACTAGATATTAGGCCCTAATATTGCAGAGTTGTAAGCAAAGCTTAAGTTTACACATGTGGGCAGACCCATTGAGTTCAATGGTGTTACTCAGGTGCATCAAGTCATGCATGTGCTTAACTCTTTGCAGGACCAGCGTAGTAGCAAACTACCCTCCTGCAGCAGACACTAAAATCCGTTTTGAATACAAGAGGGAATTCTAGTTCAACATAATTTGTAATACAAATACAAGACAAGCTCACCTGTGAGTTAATTATATCATCCTCTCAATATATACATAGGGGAGGTATAACAGAAATTAGATTAGGCTGAATGTCTCAAGAGAATGACTCAAGAAACAAAGGCAAATGGACTCATTAACAAAACACATTTGGCAATTTATATGGCAATAAATATATTGGAAGTTGAAGAAAAATGTAAGAGGATTTTGGGGATGAGGAGATTGTGAGCTACAGAAATATTCTGACTGGAGAATGAAGTAACGCAGAGCAGTGTTGAAACAGCAGACTCACAAGGTTCAAACCTTAAATCAACAAGTTATTACAACACCCTCTCTGTCATAAGCCAAGCACAGAGAGCAGCGTCCCTTACTTTTTCATTTTGCAGTCCATCTCTGGGGCCAACTTCAACTATTTTCACTTGCTTGGGAAGGGAACCAGCTGCCGTAGAGCTGATCTACACAGAAGACAGAGAGAGGAGGAAAAAAAGACCCTTTATAAACCCAGGGCTGGCTTTAGGCACCAGCTTACCAAGCAGGTGCTTGGGGCGGCCACTTCGGAGAGGGGCGGCACGTACAGCTGTTCGGCGGACGGTTCCTCACTCCTGCTCGGAGCGAAGGACCTCCAGCCGAATTGCCGCCGCAGATCGCGATAGCGATCGCGGCTTTTTTTTTTTTTTTTTGGTTTGGCTGCTTGGGGCAGCCAAAACCCTGGAGCCAGTCCTGTATAAACCACATAGGGCAAAAATTTTTCATGTTTTTCTTAACATTAACTGTGTCTATGATTGTTTCACATACTAGGAAACATAGAAAAGGCATCAGAGTACTGTTGATTCCAGGCATTTAAAAAAAATCACAAGTCAAACCCCAAAAGCATGAGTTTTTTAATAAAAAGAAATTTGGGTGTTCTTCGTATTTGCCTTCTGCTTTCTGAGCCTTTCAGGGGAATCTGGGTCACATATTCAGGCTTTTTTCTGCAACCACAAGAACTAAAAACTTTTGTTTTGTTTTGTTTTAAAAAAATAACTGGGACACTCACATATGAATCCAGGAACCAGAGCTTAACACCAAAGACCATGGCTCTCGTGATGAAATCAGAAGAGCTGGCAGCACTTTAATTAGCCAGCCTGGTCCTTGTAGACCGACTCTTTATACAGCAGTCTCTCCTTAAAGGGGCCCGGAAGAGCTGCAAGGACCAGCGCGATAAGCCCATAACTAAATACCTGCTCCGTGACCCCAGTGGCCAGGCAGCGAGAGCAGCATCACTACGTAAATTTGGAACTGTTTCGGAGTTAGCCCAGGTCCGCACCTTTTAGCTCAGCCTAGCTACTCCGCTCAGGGCTGTGAAAACGGGAGTGCCCTGAGCGCTGTAGTTAGGCTAACGCCCGGCGCAGAGGCGGCTAGGTCAAGGGAGGGAGTCTTCTGCCCACCGCCTCCCAGAGAGGTGATTAACTACCCCCGTAGGACTACAGCGTGGGCCTGGCCCCGCGGCCTCCATAGCGTAGACGGGCCCCGAGCTCTCCGGAGAAGCCGGCACAGGAGCTAGGCCGCGGCGGAAGCGGGGGGGCAGCCCGGGACCCCCAGTGCAGCGGCTGGGGCCCAACTAGGCCCTGGGGCAGCCCGCAGCCGGGGAGCGGGGCCGAGTCAGGCCGAGGCGCGCAGGCAGCCGGGGGAGCCCGGACCCCCGCAGTGGGCGGGGACGGGGACTCACTCACCGGGCGGAGCGAAGCCGCCAACCACGGAAGCGCCCGCTTGGCCGCCACCATCTTGGGACGCTCACGTGACAGACGTCCCCTTGTCACGTGACCTCTCCCCCCCCCCCCCAGCTGCTGAGCACGTGACCCAAGTCCCGCAGCTCCCCCCTGCAGGCTCCGCGCTAGTGGGAAGCGGCCGTGGCAGAGTTAGCCCCAGGCTCAGCACCTCCCTGCGGCCCAGTTCTGATCCAGCATCCCCTGCTCTGGAGCTCCCTGCGGCCCTGGCACACAGGCGAGGCAGGGACTTAAGCCCCAAGGCTTGTAGATGTGGCTGAAGCACAGCATGATTGTAGAATCACAGCCTGTAGACTGGAAGGGACCTGGCCAAATCAGACTCCTGAAAGGGGTACAGGTGTCTGGAAAGCTTGAGAGCTATTGCTCTAAGCCCCATTTACATCTAGTCTGGTACCTTCTGCTTTGCAGCATAGTGGTGTTGGGTTGCTATACAGTACTTTGAACTATATGCATCTGAAGAAGTGGGCTGTAGCAGAAAGCTTATGCTCTAATAAATTTGTTCGTCTCTAAGGTGCCACAAGTACTCCTGTTCACTTTGAACAGTGACACTTATGGCTACAAGCACTTTACTCCCACCATGCTCTAGTAAAATGCAGACTCATAGAACAGAGTTTCATAGTTTTAACCTGGATTTGCTATGAAATCCTTCCTTTACAAACTTACCAAATACAAGTACTGAGAGGGGCTTTTTTGTTTAACAAAACTGAAAGAGTTATATTGATTTTAAGTCAGACCAATGGTACCTCTGCAAAGACTTACAAGAACAGATTACCTTCTGCCTACAGCTCTTTCCACAAATGTAACTACACCCACATCTTAAGGACAAGAATTTAAAATCAGTTGAATTTATATGACTATTAGAGAGAGAGCAGATGCATTCTTTAAATTCATCACATCTGATCTCTTTCAAACATTAATATAAATCCACTTATTTTACATTATAAATATTTGTAATCACACTTAATTCAGCTTTAATTCAAATGAAATGAATGCAGCAGTGTTTTAATAGAATTTTATTTTTAAAATTTACATATGAAAATACATTGCACATAAGAATCTGAAAAAGTGCTTAATTCCAATTAGACTTTAAATGGCATAATGGACTCACCCTAAACAGGATGTTTAATAATTTCACACACCAGAAAATAAAGTTAGGCTATTGCATTTTGATTAAAGATTACACCATTTAAGTGACATGAATATTCAAATCAGTCAGTAGAAAATTCAGTTTCAGAGCTCCTGAGCTGATAGCTGTTAAAACACAGGTGCAGTGGACAGCTTCAGGGGAGACCTGCTCCTGTCCCGAAGCCATGGATGTTTTTTCCTGCTTTATTTTGCCTAGTTCTATGGTGCAGACTTATACACCAGTCCAAGGCACGTTCCTTGATCATAAGTAAACATGAAAATAGTTCCATCCCTCCATAGTTTGGTTAACAGCTATATCTTGAACATTTTGATAATTAAAAATTTGAGATCTCTCCTTTAGCAGGTAAGCACCCTCTTGGCAGGGTGACCATCGCTCATTTTGTCAATCTTAAGCATTTCTAATGTATCCATCACTGTAGTAACTAAGTGCCATTTATTCACAGTCTGTGTTTGCTGACAGCAGATCCTAATTCAACCATCTTTATAACTGTCCCACAAGAAGTGGGCTGTAGCCCACGAAAGCTTATGCTCTAATAAATTTGTTAGTCTCTAAGGTGCCACAAGTACTCCTGTTAAATTTGTTCACACTCCCACATACCTTATGTGACTGTCATGCCTATTAGGCTGCAGTGCCATAGTTAAAGGTGGCAAAGTGATAACATTGCCAGCTAAGGATCTCTCAGCACAGTCGTCTGACCACACTCAGCGGTCAAAATCCAGCAACAGAACAAGGCCACGTCTCTCGGACAGATGAAAGGTTGCGTATAGGTCAGGCCTTCATTCCCACCCAAGATGCACTGACCTAGCTGTTTTCTTGGCCAGAGCGGCTTAGAAAGGTATTCTCTTAGATGAGCAAGAAAAACAATTTATTAAGATTCCTTCACCTTCAAAAAAATATAAAATCAAAACAAAGCAAAAAAAAAAGATCTAGTTCCTCGCTTTTCTTCAAAGTCACTATCACGCCACACCTTCTAGCTTGAGAGTCCAGCAACACGGGACTGGGAGAACAGATGGAGGTACATAGGGCAAAGTGATCAGCAACCCTTTATCTACGGCCTTCTCCCACTTCAGCGTCTCAGAGAACCCCAGCATAGTCACCTGAAGAAAGAGGGAAAGAACAATACACTCATCTATTGCTTCATGCACATACTTCCTGTTTAAATACATCACAGCCAGCAAGTTCAATGTATTTGCAGACACTCAAGGGGTAGAGGTAGCCCCAACTACTTTCCATCCAGCCAGAGTTTACTGAGCTGCAGAGTACTGTACAAGGCACATTTTTGGCTCAGCATCTGCCTATGGTTCTTCACTAGGGAGATTTTTCTTATGGTGGTTTGGAACTGACACAGCCCCCTCCCTGTGCCATTTGCAGTGAGTAGTTTAATAGGGTTTTTTTTAGTTTGTGTTGCCATGTCAGAGTGGTCCTACTGCTTTTTGGGCGTCTCAGTTAATTTCACAGCAAATCAAGTCAATAGAGGCTGGGAACGCTGTGGAAGAAATGCCCCTGGCGGTTGGCAGGTTAACAAGCAGTGCTGACAAGTCCTATCCAGCATTTCTTAGAGAATAATGGTGGTTTAAAGCAAGGTGAACACACAGAAAGAGGGATCACAATTCCTTTATGACCTCTCCCTGATAGAGAAGACCCAAGACTAGAAGTAAGGGAAGACAACTTTATATATACAGTACTTTCACCAGATATTTAATGGAATCCAGGTTGGGCCATCTCAGCCTTTATGTACCAGAGATGGACTCGTGAGATTCATTATCTACTCTTCAGATTCCTTACTTGTGTGCTTGCAGATGGAATAGGTGAAGACAGCTTCAACACACCACCCTCTGGCCAGCTCAGAAAGATAGCATATACAGTTGATCGTTTAGAAGTGTACCTGAGGGAATATAATGATGGTGTACAGAGGTGCGTAGATCACCACAAAATACAGAGGCAGACAAGCATCTGGCTTTGTCAGAAGTAAAGCAAAAAGTACATGCCTCCCCCCATCTATCAGTCTAGTCATATTGGGAAAGCCAGCCACATAGGGGTCACCTGCTTTCCTTGCATACCTCAATACTTTGGAACCAACATTTATCCAGTCAGCAGGGACTGAGGAAAGCTAAACGAAGTCCACATACGCTCCCTGAAAACAAAGGTCACCTTGCGACATGGCCTTGCTTTAGGCTGCTGTGGTCAATAGCATAGATTAAGCTCTTGTGAAGCGTCATGTAGGTCATTTCATTATTCTCTTTAAAAACAGGTTAGGTTTGTAGTGTTCTGGTCTCCTTACACACTTACTATACATCTCTTCCTCTGAGGAAATGCAGTTGCTGGGTAACAGTGCACAGATCTATTACACAAGAATCTGAGAAGTAAATACCACCATACCAAGCCAACCACAGGAGTTTAGGGAGACAAAATGCAGTCATGCAACTAAGAATTTTAGCCAAAACCATGAGGTTAAACACTCCTACTCAGGAGAAGCACATGAAATCTTTAGTGTTTTACTATTGATTTTTTTTTTTAAAGCATGGGGCAACAGTCCAATACTCAGAGAGTAGAGGGCCACTTGTGAACCAATGTCTTTCTAGTGTTTATTTTTCTTTGGAGCTCTCAGAGTAGCAAGCTCAACCCTTCTTTGCTCATGAGATCACAGCCGGAGATGAGTGGCTCTTTCAGAGTGGTCTTGTGTAAAGTAACCCTTACCATGCATCGATTGTGGTGTTCTCCATCTGCACCCTCCATGGCTTAGAAGCATAAATTGCCTCCCCATTAACACGCAGCCATTTTCCAAGGGACAGAAGCCTTTCTTGAAAGATTGGAACAATCACCCCTTCTTTTGTAGGGCCCACATTGAGAAGATAGTTGCCTCCAAAACTCACAGTCTGCACTAGTTCCTGTGACAGACAGGAAAGTAACGTGAATCCACTTTACTTTCCCTCTTGACTATGAAAGAAAGACACCTGCATAAAGCTTTATTCTCATTGTCCCAGCTACTTTAGCCACCACCCTGTCCTACTGTTTTGCCAGATAAGTAGACAACGTCTAATCCCCAGCAATCCCCCTATTTATATTTAAATGTTCTTACTGAGATAATACTTGATTCATCCATGAGCTCATTGAGTTGCATGTTGCTTCGATAGCCCCAAGATCTTTTGTCAATAGACGTACACATCTCCCACTTGTGCTGTGGCAGGGTGCCCGGCTTGTATTTATCGGCACAATTATAGTATCCTCCATGATGGCAGGAGCAGTTATTGCACCAACGGTCATTTACCACAACAGTATCCTAGAATGATGAGAGACGGTTCAGAGTAGAAACTATTTTGACTTAGACACTCAATCCTTCTGCTGCAGTGTTTCAAAGGAACAAGTTTGTGGGTTTTGTTCTGGGATCTTTGGTTACTAGTCTCCTGGATAGCTCAGTGGTTTGAGCATTGGCCTGCTAAACCCAGGGTTGAGTTCAATCCTTGAGGGGGCCACTTAGGGATCAGGGGCAAAATCAGTACTTGGTCCTGCTAGTGAAGGCAGGGGGCTGGACTCAATGACCTTTCAGGGTCCCTTCCAGTTCTATGAGATAGGTATATCTCCATAAATACTTTAGATGCCCTCGACAATTTATATGCTTCGACTGATCCTGAGGTTTTGACTTAGATTCTACCAGTATTAGAAGCTGCCTGATTTTCCATATTTATGTAATGGCCAGAAGACATGAAGGAAATGCTGACAGCAGTACCTTGACAGGACTATCATTATAAAGCCAGGCAAGGAAAGAGGTAGAGTTCCAATATGTTTCCGGACCCTCCCAGTCACCATCTGACCAAACCAGATCTGGTTTATACCTAGGAGACAGATAAACGTTACTAGAAAATTTAACATTCCCACTTCTGGTCCAGAAATACAGTAATATTCAGGGGTGCTAAAAGTTTGCAGCTCTTACCTTAAAACAAGATCATAAAGCTCTGGCATAGTTTTTGAAAAGACAAAATTCTGCGTCTTGAAGCCATTTTTTTTGTCATCTAAATACAGAGGATTAAACCACTCTAGGAGAGAATGGTACAGTCCATAGCGTATGTTCCTTAAATATTAAACAAAGCAAGGAAAGAGATGAAAGTTGGGTTAACAAAAAAGTACCAGTCTAAAAAAAAGATCTCACTGCATATTCACTGCACTACAATATTAAAAAAAAAAAAAAAAAGGACAAGAACCTACTATTGTAGTATTCAGTGCTGAGTCTGCGTTAGAGAATGCTATATCTATTCATAGGTTTCAAAATACTTCCTAGAAGTGGGTAAATATCACACTCCTTTCCTCTCACATGAGACAGAGATTGAGTAACTTGCCTAAAGTCACACAGTGAGTTAGTGGTAACGTCAGGAATATAGCCCAGATTGTCAAACTCGGATTCCCATGCCCTATTCACTGGACCTTACTGCCATCCTGTAGGAAACCAACAGAAGATTTGGGTACGAGAGTTCTCTTACCCTGAGGCAGAACACTTTTGTTGAAAAGCATGTGCTTAGTGACAAATTTATCAAAAAGAACTAGGAGACGCTAATGGGCATCTACTTCAAGAACTGGAAATAGTTCTTGGGTAACAAAGTTTTGCCAGTATGTACAAGAGCAGTGACATACCTTTCTCTGAGAGCTTGTCCCAGTTCACCCACTAGGTCTCGATGGGGTCCTGTATCCATAGAATTCCAGTTCCAGGACACAGGAGACCCCCAGTTTGTGAAGCCCTCATGATGCTTTGTAGTCAGCACCACATACCTGTGGAAATCAAAGCCCCTTGTTCAGAAGGAAATAGAACTTACCTAAGATACTCCAAATCATCTGAATAAAACTGGTACTTGGAAAGCAAAGGACATGGTAACGATGGTGTCAAGAGCTGTCTCAGATTCCTTTTCTAAATGTACCTGTTTGCAAGTTCTCTCCTAAGAGTTTAGGAGTTTTAAATGAATTTTATTGCTGATAAAAAGTGACAGATTGATACCCTATGCAGACAGAACACAAATAGTGAAACAAATGCCTTACCCTCAACGTGGAGGGAGAACTTTTAAGGGCAAAAGGGTAAACCTAAGAATAAAAAACATCAGTGCTGTCAGAGTGCCATCTTTCAACAGCACTAAATCCATGTTCAAAGTTAGACACTTTAAAGCCACTGATTGAGTGATAAACCACCACTTCCAAGTGCTTCCATGGTTCCAGTGAACTTAATGGTTTTGAGACTCATTTTACAAAACCAAATCATTCTTGCTTTGTGTAAGTTTGTAGAAACCATATCTCACTAAGTTCTCAGAAAGGGACTGTCCATTGGCTAAAGGAGGAAGTAAATCACCTGACATCTGCTCTAGTGGAAGGCAGCAGAAACTGGTTCCATCTCGCATCTAGTTTCGATTAATGCAAGATTTAAAATCCACAGACGTGTTCCTTTCCTGGGAATGATGCATCCTCAGGGTGCTACGATCCAGGAGTCAGCCCCAGCAGGGACATAAACTATAGGAACCAGGGTTCTGCCCTATGTACACTCTGCCCATTGGAGTGGCTCTGCATCTGGGATGGAGCAAACCAATGACCCCTACAGATGCTTTATGTGCACAAAGGTCACCAGTGACTGCACCCACTACACTCCTGCTCCAAGGGACTCCCCTAGAGCTTTCTCCCCCAGCAGAGCCCAGGGCCACCCTGCCCTCACGCATCCCTTCCCCTCCCCACCAGGCTACTCCCTGCTCCGCCCCTCAGGGTGCCCCCCTTGCCCTGATTTGTACTCTCAGGTCTCAGCCCATCCCCCAGGCTACTCCCCATTAGAGACCAAGGAGCCCCACACTTCCCCCCGCCCCAGGTCACCAGTGCCGACAGCCCCCCCCCCCAGGCGCTCCCGCCCGCCCGCCGGGACTGACCTGGCGCCGGCCTGCTCGAAGAGCCAGGCCCAGTAGCGCGGCCGGAAGTCGCGGGCGGTGAAGCGCGAGGCGAAGTCGGCGTAGGTGGTGTTGGGCGGGAAGTGCTCCCGCACGAAGCGCTCGTAGTCGCCGCGGCGCTCGCCCTGCCAGTGCCACCAGAACCACTCGGAGCCATAGGCCGGCACCGAGAACACGCCCCAGTGCACGAACACCCCCACCTTGGCCTGGTCGAACCACGCCGGCAGCGGCCTCGCGTCCAGGCTGGGCCAGTCCGGGCTGTAGCGGGGCCCGCAGGCCGCCCCGGCTACCAGCGCCCCCAGCAGCAACAGCCAGCGCGCCGCTCCCAGCGACGCCATCTTCCCCAACCGGCTCTGCCCAGGCCCCGCCCCTCCGCCCACGGGACGGGAGCCGAGACGGGCCAAAACGGGGACCTAGGAGCTGACCACGTGATGGGCACCGACCACGTGATGAGCAGGCCCGACGCCATTGCTAGAGAGGCACTGACCACGTGATGTACCAGGGCGACGCCATTGCTAGAGAGGCACTGACCGCCTCATGTTGAGGAGAAAAGCCATCGCCAGCGAGGCAATGGCCACGTGGTTCCTGGGACATGCAGGCGGCACGTGCTGCCCCTGGGATTGTCACCGCTCAGGCACTGAGGGAGAGGGCAGGTCCCAGGAGCTGGGGGCGCTGGGAGCCCATGTCCAAGGCTGGGAGGAGCTTCTGCACCATAGAGGGCACCACCCCGTGGGGTGACCCACAAGCACCCTGCTGGCTGAGTCTGACACAGGCTGGCCCTAGGTGTAGCTCGCCCACAGCAGCAAGTTGGTCCAATAGAAGCTATTACCTTAACCACCTTGTCGCACTAGTATCCTGAGACCAACACAGCTACAACTCAGCATATAACCCATGTAGTGCAATTACATATGTGGATCACAGAAACCCCCTTGGGAACTGCCAACCGATGTGCCAAGACTACTTCTGCCCCTGCTTTCCCTGCCAGCCTGGGACTCCAGCACCCTGTCCTGTTGAGCCAGACCCGTCTGCTCCAACACAGACCCAGGGTCTGAACCACGTGCCTCAAAGCTGCAGACTACGCTGAAAGCGACTTGAGAAGTGTTCCCGTCTTTAACACTCAGAGGCCCAACTCCCAATGGGGTCCAAACCCCAAATAAATCCGTTTTAGCCTGTATAAAGCTTATACAGGGTAAACAAATAAATTGTCCGCCCTCTATAACACTGATAGAGAGATATGCACAGCTGTTTGCCCCCCACCCCCAGGTATTAATACATACTCTGGATTAATTAATAAGTAAAAAGTGATTTTATTAAATACAGAAAGTAGGATTTAAGTGGTTCCAAGTAGTAACAGACAGAACAAAGTGAATTACCAAGTAAAATAAAATAAAACACGCAAATCTGAGTCTAATACAGTAATAAAATTGAATACAGATAAAATCTCACCCTCAGAGATGTTTCCAGGGCCGCCCAGAGGATTCAGGGGGCCTGGGGTCTTCAGCGGCGGGGGGCCCCCGCCGCCGAAGACCCGGCACTTCGGTGGCGGGTCCCGAGGCAGAAGGACCCCCCACCGCGGGTCTTCGGGGCACTTCGGTGGTGGGTCCCGGAGCCAAAGGACCTCCCGCCGCCGAATTGCCGCCGAAGACCCGGAGCGGAAGAAGCTCCGGGGGCCCGGGCCCCACAAGAGTTTTCCGGGGCCCCCGGAGCGAGTGAAGGACCCCGCTCCAGGGGCCCCGAAAAACTCTCGTGGGGGCCCCTGTGGGGCCCGGGGCCTGAGACAAATTGCCCCACTTGCCCCCCCCCTCCTCTGGGCGGCCCTGGATGTTTCAATAAGTTTCTTTCACAGACTGGACGCCTTCCTAGTCTGGGCACAATCCTTTCCCCGGTACAACCCTTGTTCCAGCTCAGGTGGTAGCTAGGGGATTTCTCATGATGGCTGCCACTTTTGTTCTGTTCCACCTACTTTTATATCTTTTGCATAAGGCGGGAATCCTTTGTCCCTCTCTGGGTTCCCACCCCCTCCTTGTCAATGGAAAAGCACCAGGTTAAAGATGGATTCCAGTTCAGGTGACATGATCACATGTCACTGTAAGACTTCATTACCCACTTGCCAGCACACACGTATACAGGAAGACTTACAAGTAAAACAGAGCCATCTGCAGTCAATTGTTCTCGTTGATGGGAGCCATCAAAATTCCAAACCACCATTAATGGCCCACACTTTGCATAATTACAATAGGCCCTCAGAATTATATTTCATATTTCTAGTTTCAGATACAAGAGTGATACATTTATACAAATAGGATGACCACGCTCAGTAGATTATAAGCTTTGTAATGATACCTTACAAGAGACCCTTTGCATGAAGCATATTTTAGTTACATTATATTCACACTCATCAGCATACTTTCATAAAATCATATAGAGTGCAATGTCACAACATAATTTTGCAAAGGCATCCTTATTTCTATCGTAGCAGCCACTGGTGGCAAACAGCATAGACCTACGACAACACTGCATATAACTACTTATGCATCCAATGAAGTGGGCTGTAGCCCACAAAAGCTTATCCTCAAATAAATTTGTTAGTCTCTAAGGTGCCACAAGTACTCCTGTTCTTTTTGCGGATACAGACTAACACGGCTGCTACTCTGAAACCTATAACTACTTAGTTACTCTAGGGCAGGAGTGGGCAAACTACGGCCCGGGGGCCGCATCCAGCCCTCCAGACGTTTTAATCCGGCCCTCTAGCTCCCACCAGGCAGCGGGATCCAGGGCTTGCCCCACTCCGGCACTCCAGGCGGGGAGCGGGATCGTGGATTTGCCCCACTCCACATGGCTCCCGGAAGCAGTGGCATGTCCCCCCTCCGGCTCCTACATGTAGGGGCAGCCAGGGGGCTCCGCACACTGGCCCCGCCCCAAGCGCTGCCCCCGCAGCTCCCATTGGCCTGGAACTGTGGCCAATGGGAGCTGCAGGGGTGGTACCTGTGGACAGGGCAACATGCAGAATCGCCTGGCCGTGCCTCCACGTAGGAGCCAGAGGAGGAACATGCTGCTGCTTCTGGGAGCTGCATGAAGTGAGCACCACCCGGAGCATGCACCCTGACCCCCTCCCGCACCCCAACCCACTTCCCCAGCCCTGATCCCCCTCCCGCCCTCCGAATCCCTCCGTCCCAGGCCGGAGTAATCTTCTGCACCCCCAACCCCTCATCCCCACCCCCACCCCAGAGCCCACACCCCCAGCCGGAGCCCTCTCCCTTCCCCTCCCCTCCCCCCTTCACACCCCAACCCCCTGCCCCAGCCCAGAACCCCCTCCCACACCCTTAACTCCTCATGTCTGGCCCCACCCCAGAGCCCACACCCCCAGCCAGCACCCTCATCCCCTCCCGCACCTCAACCCCCAATTTCGTGGGCATTCATGGCCCGCCATGCAATTCCCATACCCGGATGTGGCCCTCAGACCAAAAAGTTTGCCCACCCCTGCTCTAGGGTTTCTAAGCCACAGAGAAAATATTCTTTATTCTTACTCTGTATAGAGTTTAACTATTAAAATAAATAAGACATTTAATGATGTGCTAACAGATTTACCATGACGGTTTGCTAGCTAAATACAACATAGTGGTTTATAGTATGTAGCACAAGAGGCATATTTACATATACTACTGCAGGTAAGTTTTCGTGCCACCGGCATGATTGAGGTCAATTATTAACAGCCCGAGTGTGCTTTGTTAAATTTCAAATGTTGTTCTCTCGTGTTTGTCAGGAGTTGGGAGACCGACGTTATAATCATATTAATATGCTGAACCCAAGGGGGCAAATTCAGCACTGGTGTAAAGCAGGTGCAAGTCTTTATGACATGCCCTTGGCCACATGTACTGACTGGTGCTTGTGTTATTTTGTCTGTGTCCAGTTGACGTGTTCTGCAAAAGATACCTATGGAACGTCTTATTTCCTAGGCACAAATATCCAGCACTTGCCTGCTTAGAGTATAAAACATCTTCAGCACATATTGCATTTCTGGACAAAACAATACAGCACCTTCTTAAAACAGCTGCTCAATAATTCCAGCCAAAGGGCTTAATTCTTCATTGGAGTAGTCCCAGTAAAGTCAGTGAAATTACACTAGGGATAAATGTGCCTCCTTAGTTGGATGAGAAGTAAACCACATTCATACGTTTCCTTTGGAGCCATACTTGGCTGTAAATGTTCCTGGAAATACAATCAAACTCCTAAACACAGGCTCTCAGACTGCCCAGTTCCTCAAAGCTATTTAGGCACCAATTGATTTCAGTGGAAGTCAGGAGCCTAAATACCTTTGAGTATCTGGGCATAAGACCCACTGAGGGCTCCATCCTGCAAGGTGCTCAACTTCCACTGAGTTTAATGGGAGTGTGGGGCTCTCACCACCACTGCAGTGTGCTCGATGCCTTAGCATATTGAACCACAATTGCATATAAAATGTTGCAGTCCCAGCAGCAGAGTGGCCACAGACCAGCCTTGTGCTGCAGCGTAGGGATAGCTCAGTGGTTTGAGCACTGGCCTGCTAAACCCAGGGTTGTAAGTTCAATCCTTGAGGGGGGCCATTTGGGGATTTAGTTGGGGACTGATCCTGCTTTGAGCAGGGGGTTGGACTAGATGATCTCCTGAGGTCCCTTCCAACCCTATGATTCTACAGCCACGTGGGTCAAAGCACATTTTACTTGGACCAGAACTTCATTTTAGAGTAGGGAGGAATGAGGTCATTGACTGCAAGATAAGTGAGTCAAGAAGATCACTGTTTGACACAGTTGTGGACTTAGCCTGGTAAACCGGGAGGGTTGCCCTAAAATAGTGGGGACTGCTTCTGTTGTTTATCCATCCATCCATGGTGTTTGTAGAGCACCCATCACTGTAGTATCTATGAAAGCCTGCTATGCTATCATTGTAGTATTCGTATGGTAGAGTTGGTCCATTCTTCCTTTGCTTGGGTGTATCTGCTCTTTAGAGGGTAGGGACCAGCAGCCCAGATATTTAAAGGTACTTAGGCAGCTAATTCCCTTGGAAATTAATGGGAATTAGATGCCTAAATACCATTACAAATCTGGGCTCATGTCTTTTACTCACTAAGTAAAGTCCCAGGCACAAGGAGGGTGTGATCTGCAAATGTTTCATGATACCATTACAGCCAAATGGCTTCGTGTCCCCGGCAAGGCATTCAGTCACGAATCCTCCCAGGAGCTACAAAGAAAAGCAGCTTTAGATTTTCTTTCTTTTCAAAGAAACAATCCAAAATCTTCCAGACATTTCCCCCGTCAAAGCTCAGCCTTCCAGCAGATTCATGTCTGTGTTGCACACAATGTCGTCACAGATGGTTTCTATCGGTG